GATTTTTACCTCTATGTTGATCAGAGATATTGGCCTGTAGTTCTCTTTTTTGTGTGTGTGTGAGGTCTTTATTGATCTCTTCTATTGTTTTTTTGTTCCGTTTCTATTAGCTTTTATTTCTGCCCTAATCTTTATTATTTCCTTTCTTCTGCTGTCTTTGGGTTTTGTTTGGTCCTATTTTTCTAGCTCCTTTAGATGTAAGGTTAGATTGTTTATTTGAGATTTTTCTTGCTTCTTGAGGTAAGCCTGTATTGCTATAAATTTTCCTCTTTGGACCACTTTTGCTGCATCCAAAGGTTTTCGACCATTATGTTTTCATTTTCATTTCTCTCCATGTAATTTTTATTCTTCTTTTATTTCGTGGTTGATCCATTCATTGGTTAGTAGCATTTTATCTGACCTCCATTATTTGTGCTCTTTCAGATTTTTTTCTTATCATTGATCTCTTATTTCATAACACTGTGGTCAGAAAAAAATGCATGGCATGACTTTAATACTTTTGAATTTGTTGAGGCTTTTTTGTGGCCTAATATGTGATGTATTCTGGAATATGTTGCATGTGCACTTGAGAAGAATGTGTATTATGCTGTTTTAGGATGGAATGTTCTAATTATATATGTGAGATCCATCTGGTCCAGTGTGTTATTCAAAGCCAGTGTTTTCTTTTTTTATTGTTATGTTAATCCCCATACATTACATCATTAGTTTTAGATGTAGTGTTCCATGATTCATTGTTTATGCATAACACCCAGTGCTCCATGCAGAATGTGCCCTCTTTAATACCCATCACCAGGCTAACCCATCCTTCCCCCCTCCCCTCTAGAACCCTCAGTTTGTTTTTCAGAGTCCATAGTCTCTCATGGTTTGTCTACCCCTCCGATTTCCGCCCTTCATTTTCCCCCTCCTGCTATCTTCTTCTTTTTTTTTTTCTTAACATATATTGCATTATTTGTTTCATAGGTACAGATCTGTGATTCAGCAGTCTTGCACAATTCACAGCGCTCACCATAGCACATACCCTCCCCAATGTCTATCACCCAGCCACGCCATCCCTCCCACCCCCCACCACTCCAGCAACCCTCAGTTTGTTTGCTGAGATTAAGAATTCCTCATATCAATGAGGTCATATGATACATGTCTTTCTCTGATTGACTTATTTTGCTCAGCATAATACCCTCCAGTTCCATCCACGTTGTTGCAGATAAGCCAGTGTTTTCTTATTGATTTTCTGTTTATATGCTCTGTCCATTGATGTAAGTGGGGTATTAAAATCCCCTACTATTAATTTATCAGTTAGTTCCTTTGCTTGTTATTAACTGTTTTATGTATTTGGGTACTCCCATGTTGGGTGCATAAATATTTAGAATTGTTATATCCTCTTGTTGGATTGTTATTATTATTATATAGTGTCATTATTCTCTTGTTACTGTCTTTGTTTTAAAGTCTGTTTCATCTGATATAAGTATAACTACTCTGCTTTTATTTTGACATCCATTTGCATGGTAAATGTCTTTCCAGCCCCTCACTTTCAATCTGCATGTGTCATTAGTTCTGAAAGGAGTCTATATAGGCAACATATTGATGGGCTTGTTTTTCTACCCATTCCATCACCCTATATCTTTTGATTGAGCTTTTAGTCCATTTACTTTCAAAGTAATTATTGATAGATATGTATTTATTGCTATTTTGTTACTTTTTTATGGTCATTTTTGTAGTTTTTCTATGATCCTTTCTTCTCTTGCTCTCTTTCACACTTTTTAGTGTTAAACTTGGATTTCTTTCTCTCTATTCTTTGTGTATCTGTTATTGTGTTTTGATTTGTGGTTACCATTAGGGTTGTATAGAACATCTTCTGCATATAGCAGCCTATATTCAGTAGATGGTCGCTTAAATTAGAACTCATTCTTTCTTCTTATCCCCATTTTTCAGGTATATGGTGTCCTATTTCACGTCCTTTTATTTTATGAGTTCTTTCACTGATTTTTACAGATATACTTATTTTTACTGCTTTTGTGTTTCCTTCTTTTCATACTCTTACTTATGGTCTTTCCTTTCCACTCCATGTGTTTCCTTAATATTTTTGTAGGCCTGGTTTAGTGAACTTGAACTACTTTAGCTTTTGTTTGTCTGAGAATCTCTCCTGTTCTGAATGATAAGTCTTGCTAAAAAGAGTATTTTTGGCTGCATATTTTTTCCTGTTAGCACTTTCAATATATCATGCCACTTGCTTTTGTCCTCCAAAGTTTCTGCTGAAAAATCCACTCATAGCCTTATAGCATTTCCCTAGTGTGTAATTATCTTCTTTTGTCTTGCTGCTTTTAAAATTCTTTATCACTACTTTTTGCCATTTTAATTACTTTGTGTCTTGGTGTTGACCTCTTTGAGTTGATTTCGGTGGGGGAACCTCTGCCTCCTGGATCTGGATATCTATTTGCCACCTGGATCTGGATATCTGTTTCCTTTCCCAGATTTGGAAAAGTTTTAGCTAGTATTTCTTCACATAAATTTTCTGAACCCTTTTATTGTTCTTATGGAATCCCTATAATGCAAATGTTATTACACTTGATGAAGTAGCTGAGTTCCCTAAGTCTTTTCTCATTTTGCATAATTTTTTTTCTTTCAGGTTGCTCATTCATTCCTCTGCTTCCTCTAGCCTGCTATTTATTCCATCTAGTGTATTTTTAATTCCGTTTATTGTTTTCTTCATCTCTGATTTGTTCTTTTTTATCTCTTTGTTAAGCATCTCACTTACATTCTCCACTCTTTTCTCAAGTACAGTGGGTATCTTTATGATCATTACTTTAAATTCTCTGTCAGGTGTATTACTCCATTTCTCTTAGGTCTCTTACTGTCGTTTTTGTGTTTTTTTTTAATCCATTTGGGATATATTTCTCTGTCTCCTCATTTTGCCTCTGTGTCTGTTTCTTTGTGTCAGGAAAGTCAGCTACGTCTACTCCTCTTGAATGTAGTGGTCTTATGAAGAAGAGGTCCTGTAGTGCCCTGCAGTGCAGTTTCCCCTCTTCCCCAGAGCCCGATGCTTCAGGTGGTGTCTCTTATGTGTGTTGCATGTGCTTTGCTGTTTTGTCCTGGCTGCTTTTTCCTTCAGTCCAGTTGTCTGCAGAGGCTCTCTTTGCCTGTTGTAGGCAGCATTTTGTCCCTGGTGGGGGTGTGGTATGCAGTGTTAACAAGGTGTGCTCTGCTTATGAAATGAGACCTGAGACCTGAGACCTGTAGCTTCCAGGACCCGGGCCTTGTGAGTGGGTTGTGCAATTTTAACAAGGTGCTCCTCGAACTTCCACAAGGCCTGCAGCTGCTACTGCCAGAACTACAGTCTTGCAAAATGCATGGGTGGAAAGATGTAGTATTGGCAAAGTTTGCGCTGGATTTCTGAGGGGGGTGGCCTGTGGTGCTGGGACTGATGCAAGCATGAGTGGAAAGGGTGGATGTGCCAAGCACTAGGGTGTGGGGCTTGGTGTAAGAAAATTATGTAGGGAATTTCCTGCTGGTTTCTGCAGGTGCCCATGTGTTTATGTTAAGCGTGGGGAAGGGGAGTGGCACCTGCCAGCTCCTTTGTTCCTGGAAGAGTCTTACTCTGGACATGCTCTGAGATGAGTAAATAACTCTCCCTACTGTACACCCCAGGTGTTTTTCAAAGTACTGCTTCTACCCTGTTTTTGGAGGGCTGTTTGTCATGCTGTCTCTTTAAGGGCAGGGACTCATCTTCCTTCTGCCTTCAGCCTCTTCCAAAATGGAGCCAGCTGATTTTTAAGCTTCCAGGCTTTAAGTCCTTCTTATTTGTAAGAAGTCAGTAAATTCAGCTCCTCTTGCTTTCAAAACCAAATGTTAGGAGGATTCGTCTCTCCCATGCAAGCTTCCTGGTGTGTTAGTCTGTTTCTCACCCTTCTCTGTGCCTGTGGCTCCCTCCTGATCACAGATGGCCACCTCTGTTTTGCTCCCCACCATGTCTCCACCTTTTCTACCCTCTTCGATGTGGACTTTTCTCTGCCTTTGGTTGTGGAGTTTGTTTTGCCAGTCTTCACTTTCTGGGTTATTTACACTGGTGTGAGTGTTATCTAGTTGTATCCATGAGATGAGGTGAGCTTAGGGTCCCCTTACTCCACCATCTTCCAGCCTCCTTCTAATACACCATCTTTAATTGGAAGCCAGTTTAGTTTTTTATTGATTTGAATTATTTTCATATATAATTTGAGAATATTAAGAAATATATCTCTACCACATATGATGAAAATTTTCATTATAGTACCAAGAAAACATTTGAATCTTTCCTCAGGGTATTACTTGATATTCTTAAGTTAAATCCTTTTTTTAAAAACAAATAATCTAATTTGATCTGGTCTCAAAAACTTAAGAAAATTAGAACAGATTTAAAAATCTAGCCAAAGCAGTGAAAATAAATTGCTATTTCATAATGTAGGATCTTTGGGGGATTTTTGGTTGACTAAATGTATTTTGAATTACTTTGCATATGATAAAAAATGCAGTGAGAAGAATATTGGACTTGGATTCAGGAGATCTTGTGTTAGAATTCTGGTTCACAAGCTTGGAACAAAGTGAAATTTTCAGCAACCTGGTGAACCATCTTAAGATTACAAAGCTATCTCTCTACTTCATAATGTTTTGAGAATCCCATGAAAAAGAATATGTGACTAGCTTTGTAATATAATTACCAACACATAATAAAGGTTTTTTTTCTTAGTACATTTGCTTCTATCATCTGGAATAACATGTAACAAAAGATAAGGCTAATTTTAGAAAAAATGGACAGGATCAGTGTAACATATTTGCCTTCTATGAAGGATCTGTGTATTCTAAGGAAGCAAGTTTATGTAGTAACTTTGGTGACTGCGAACCTCTCTACTTCTACCCCAAAATAAAGATTCAGACTAACTAAAACTGTGCCATTAAGTCTAAAACAGCAGAGCCAACTAAGGGGTAATGGAAGTTGGGCATAAACCCTTACTGTGATTTTCTTTTTTCAGTGTACTTAAATGAAGCAGGGTTCAACTTTGTGAGAAAATGCATTCAAGCTGTGGAAACAAGAGGTAAGTGTTGCCTGACAGGTACATTGTTACTGTTATGTAGTTCATGTAGTTCATTCTTATATAGAAACCCCTCAAAAAATGAGGATGTGTTTCATCATTAACATGAAATTAACTTTAAGAACTATATAAACTTATAAATTATCTACATATACAGAAAACTATAGCTTGAACTTTACCAAAAATCATACTGTAGTTTTTTATTGTTATGTTATGTTAATCACCATACATTACATCATTAGTTTTTGATGTAGTGTTCCATGATTCATTGTTTGCATATAACACCCGGTGCTCCATGCAGAACGTGCACTCTTTAATACCCATCACCAGGCTAACCCATCCTCCCATCCCCCTCCCCTCTAGAACGCTCGGTTTGTTTTTCAGAGTCCATCGTCTCTCATGGTTTGTCTACCCCTCCGATTTCCCCCGCTTCATTCTTCCCCTCCCGCTACCTTCTTCTTCTTCTTCTTCTTTTTTTTTTTCTTAACATGTATTGCATTATTTGTTTCAGAGGTACAGATCTGAGATTCAACAGTCTTGCACAATTCACAGCGCTTACCAGAGCACAAACCCTCCCCAGTGTCTATCACCCAGTCACGCCATCCCTCCCACCCCACCCCCCACTCCAGCAACCCTCAGTTTGTTTCTTGAGATTAAGAATTCCTCATATCAGTGAGGTCATATGATACATGTCTTTCACTGTATTTCTTTTTAATGATCTTTCCTAATAAAGGCTTGCTTTACTTCTTATTGATAGACTTTGTGTTATTTATTACTACAACCACTTCTTTGATTTTTTTTCAAGCTTTAGTGGGATAACATTCTTAAGGAGCTGGTCTTCCTCCTTCCTTATATTATTTCCCTCAGTGATTTCAGTCACGGTCACAATTACAGTACCTTTCCTCTCTCTAGTCATGACCTCTCACCTGAAGCCCACTCCAGTGCCTATTACACTCTTTCCCTTCCAGGAAAACTTTGCTTTAGCAAAACTCATATTGGGCTTTGAAATTCTGTGAACTTAGGCTCAGATTTTGGTGCTGCCGCTTAGAAGTTTTGAGAAGCTAAGCATGTTTCTTAAATTCTCTGAATCTGTTTCCTCATCTTCAAAATGAAGGTGTAAAAGCCTTCCAACTCTTCAACATGCAGGACTCCATGACTGAAAATAGAGGATGAGAAGTCCTGATTATCATTTCCCATCTTTGATGCTTTTTGTATTCAAATAGTGGTGAATGAACAGGGGTACTTTGCTACTTGAAGGATCTTCAAAAGACTTTCAGACACTGTTCAGTGTCTGCTCTGAGAAATATATGTGTGATGGGTGTTTCCAGGGTAGATTTGCTGAAGTTAGACTGCAAAATTGGACAAGTAGCTTTCAAATTCTGTATAGGTATATGCCTACGGTTTTTAACATTCTGTACTTGTGCTGCTGGTCTCAAGCCATTCTCTTGTGATTTTTCCTTCTCATTAGGCATCACTATTTTAGGCCTCTACCGAATAGGAGGAGTAAACTCCAAAGTTCAGAAACTCATGAACACAACATTTTGTAAGTTTTGGATGAAGCTGGTTACTTAATTTTTGTATTATAGATAATCCAAACCATACCTTTCTTTGAGAATTATACTATTGCTTGCCTTTGAATATTTTCAAGTAATATTTAAAGTTAATATTTGCATTCAGTTTTTAATGTTCAGTTATAATAGATGAACAATCAGAATTTGGGAGGGGTCCTTTTTATAATGTTGGACTTTTTCTCAAGTGTCCTTTGATTAGCTAGAGGTGCATTGAGATTTATGGGTGCTGGATTCAAAGATTGCCTAGCTTGGAATCCTGACTTGCCACTTAAAAGCTTTGTGACCTTGGGTAATTTGTTTAAACTCTTTGTGCCTCAACCTTCTCATTCATAAAATGGGGATAATAATAGTGCCTGCCTCATTGAGAAGTATGAGGATTGGATATGTTAATTCATATAATGTACTTGGAAGCATGCCTGGCAGATGGTAAGTGCTCTGTGATATTAGCAATTGATAATAATTTGATTTGGAACACTGTTATTCCACAAGAAGTCTTTGAGGTTTATAAAGCATCAGAGTGAGATTTGCACTAGTTCGCACAAACAACAATTCAAAACTTTAAATCTGTTGGCACTCTAAGAAATAAATGTCTCTCTCTTTGGCCTACTTACGTTTGTGTACATCTTCTTTATGGTGTGAGTGATGTTTTGAATTGCAGTTTAAACATCTTATTTTTTACTCTTTTCAGCTCCAAAATCCCCTCCTGATATTGACATTGATATTGAATTGTGGGATAATAAGACAATAACAAGTGGACTGAAAAACTACCTCAGGTAAGGAAGGTTGAACTCCTACTCTGCATGTGATGTCTCTCTTACCTCCTTGGGCAGTCGCCATGTGATTCCTTGGAGATCCTGTGCATGAACTTCACTATTTAGAGCAATACCTTCACTTCAGGTGAAATAGCACAAGGTGGTGATATTTATATTTAGTGTTTTGGAACTTATACATGCTTTTTCAAATAATAAACAGGCTGCAGTATTTTAGGAATACTAAATAATGCTTTGTTTCATATTAAATTTGAATGTGGTGTTTTCATGTATTTTTTTTAAAGCTGAAATTGAAAGTTGTTTTTTGTTTTGTTTTTGTTTTTTATTTAACTATTGTCCCCATATCTGAGAGGTATTTTGCTGTTGTTGTTCAGTAGTTCTCACAGTGACAAAATGATTTTCCAGCCATCCTTTTTAGTACAATTATGCCAAGAAGTGCTAAAGGGCTTTGGTGTCTTCGAGGTCTGCATTTTGGGACTGCCTGGAGCGGCCCTACTAGGTCTTGATCACACTCCTTAATCACCCAACTCTTAGAGAAACACTGAAAGTTCAGGGAAAATGAAAAAAATATTGCCATTATAATGCCTGCTTCTTTATCCATTGCAGATGCCTTGCAGAACCACTGATGACTTACAAGTTACACAAAGATTTTATTGTTGCAGTTAGTAAGTACACTTCCGTTGGATGTATTATAATTGATGTAGTTTTATGCTCTGTCACTTAGAGGTATAAATTTAAATGAACTAGTTAAGATTTTCCTGTATATTGCTTAAGAAACTGTCAATCTGATACTTTTTTTTCATTATGTTCAATTAGCCAGCATATAGTTTTTGATGTAGTGTTCAGCAATTCATTAGTTGGGTATAACACCCTGTACTCATCACCACACGTGCCCTTTTTAATATCCATCACACAGTTACCCCATCCTCCCGTCCCCCTCCCTTCTGTAACCCTCAGTTTGTCTCCCAGAGTCCAGAGTCTCTCATGGTTTGTTTCCCTCTCTGATTTCTTCCCTCCCTTCCCCTGTGGTCCTCTGCACTATTCCTTATATTCACATGAGTGAAACTATATGATAATTGTCTTTCCCTGCTTGACTTATTTCACTTAGCATCATCCCCTCCAGTTCCATCCATGTCGATGCAAATGGTGGGTACTCGTCCTTTCTAATGGCTGAGTAATATTCCACTGTATATATGGACCACATCTTTTTTATCTATTCATCTGTTGAAGGGCATCTCGGCTCCTTCCACAGTTTCGCTATTGTGGACATTGCTGCTATGAACATTGGGGTGCAGGTGCCCCTTCATTTCACTACATCTGTATCTTTTGCTGGGTCATAGGTAGCTCTATTTTTAACATCTTGAAGAAATTCCATTCTGTTTTCCAGAGTGGCTGTACCAGCCTGCATTCCCACCAACAGTAAGAGGTTCCCCTTTCTCCACACCCTCACCAACATCTGTTGTTTCCTGTCTTGTTTTGCCATTCTAACTGATGTAAGGTAGTATCTCATTGTGGATTTGATTTGTATTTCCCTGATGGCTAGTGATGTTGAACATTTTTTCATGTGTCTGTTAGCCATTTCTATGCCTTTGGAGACGTGTGTGTTCATGTATTTGGCCCATTTATTGACTGGATTATTTGTTTTTTGGGTGTTGAGTTTGAGAAGTTCTTTAAAGATCTTGGATACCAGCCCTTTATCCGTAATGTCATTTGCGAATATCTTCTCCCATTCCATGGGTTGCCTCTTAGTTTTGTCATTTGATACTTAATAGCTGACAGTATGGTTTGTAAACAAATAGGAAATTGTGAATGATGGATTAAAGACCTAAATGTGAGACTTAAAACCATAAAAGTAGGAGAAGACATAGGCAGTAGCTCTTTGACATTGACTGGAGAAACATTTTTCTAGATATGTGTTCTCTGGCAAGGGAAACAAAAAGCAAAATTAAACAATTGGGACTACACCAAAATAAAAAAGTTTGAGCAATAAAGGAAATCATCAACAAAACAAAAAGGCAACCTACTGAAGGGGAGAAAATATTTGCAAATGATTATCCGATAAGGGGTTAATATCCAAAATATATAAAGAACTTACACAACTCAACACTAGAAAAACAATTTGATTAAAAAAGAGGCAGAGGCCCTGAGTAGACATTTTTCCAAAGCAGACATACAGATGGACAATAAACACATGCAAAGATGCTCAACATCACTCATCATCAGGGAAATACAAATCAAAACTACAATGAGCTATCACCTCTCACCAGTCAGAATGGCTAAAATTAACAACACAGGAAGCAACAGGTGTTGGCGAGGATGTGGAGAAATGGGAACCCTCTCGCACTGTTGGTGGGAATGCAAACTGGTGCAGCCACTCTGGAAAACAGTATGAGGGTTCCTCAAAATATTAAGAATAGAACTACCATACGATCCAGTAATTTGACTACTGGATATCTACCCAAAGAAAATGAAAACACCAATTCAGAAAGGTATGTGCACCGTTACATTCATTGCAACATTATTTACAAAAGCCAAGGCATGGCAACAACAGAAGTGTCCATCGATAGATGAATGGATAAAGAGAATGTGGTATGTATGCACAATGGAATATTACTAAACCACGAGAGAATGAAATCTTGACCTGTGCAACAACATGGATGGACCTAGAGAGTCTAGTACTAAGTAAAATAAGTCAGACAGAGAAAGACCAATACTATATGATTTCATTCATATGTGGAATTTAAGAAACCAAACAAAAAAAAAAAAAACAAAAAAAGGAACACTCTTAAATACAGAGAACAAACTGGTGGTTGCCAGAGGAGAGGTGGGTGGAGGATAGGGGAAATAGATGAAGGGAATCAAGAGTATACTTAGCTTGATTTAAAGAAATTGCAGAATGAATTAGAATATTTTACCACTTAATAAGACTTCATTGGGGTGCTAAGAGGAATTATTTTAGTTACGTTTTACTCAATTGATGTTAGTTTCTTATAAGAGCAACCTTAGGGTTAAATAGATAAGACTACAAATATGTACAGTCAGGTGTGCGACCTACTCATACTTACATGCTGTATTCCTAAATCTGGAGAGAAGAGTCAGGTATTTTTGGCAGGTAACAGGCACTTCCATCAATCCTTTTCCCCCTATTTATTGATAATGATCACATATCTATGTCATTTCTTTGGGTCTATGATTGCTATAATGGAATATATATAGATAGGCTTAATTCAAAAATTGTGGGGAGGGGCTCAGTGAAAACATGTAAGCTGAGAAATCAGAAATACGTACTTTTAAAACATTAAAACCAAAGTGCAGGGTTGCCATCTGAGCCCATCACAACATTTAACCATTAGGAATTAGCAATTCATTGTTAAGATGTATGAGGTATGACTGTACCAAGTATTTTTCACAGTCCCAAGAAAGAAAGCAGTTACATTAATTTATTACCACACATTGTAATGTCACAGGAAATGTCTGCTGATAAGTGTCAGATAACATTGAGTGACTTGGTTTTCAATCCAGCATACATGACTGACCACATGATCTCATAAACATCTGTACCACTTAGCTTTCTCCTGAAAGCTTTCCACTCTATATTCTCTTCATTGAAATCTATCCTTATTAGATGAACAAAACCTCAGAAAATGTATAGTCTGACCTCTCATTTTATTGACTAGATCCCTGAGTGGGCCAGTGACTTTGTCCAAGGACACTAGTAAATTGATGGCAAAATCAGGGCTACAAGCCAATTTTTTTGACTCTTACCCTAGAACTCTTTCTTACAGAAATTTTGTGTTAATTAAACAAATGGCATTTGAGCCACCTAGCTAAGTAGCTAAAATGAGCAGCTTGTTTTAATAGAAACATTTGGTTGTAAGCTATTTTTCTCTATTTCCATGGCAAATAAATAATTCACTACCATGATAATTAAAATATATTCTTATAGATAAGAATTAATCTTTTGTCTGGGTCAAGGATATTACCATGTATCAGATAATAAGATAATAAAATTAGGTATTATTTGGAAATTCAGCTCTGTAAAAAGGGGAAGTTTTTCAGAAATTACAAGGTGTCTCACAGATTCCCTGGCAGAGTATGGATCAGGCTTTCCACAGGCCTATAGCTAGGAACTGCAAAACTGGGAATTGGTATTTCTCTTCCCATCCTTTTAGGAGGGTCTCTCCTCTCTGTTCTTTGCTGCATATCTGCCTTATTCGTATCTCCCTTTCCAGTCGGGTTTTCGTGGCTTGGGAGCACATTTGGTCATGTCAACCCTGGTCTTACACGTTATGCCTTTTCACATAGCTAAGCGGACAGATCACAGTTTTGGTGTCTCCATTCCAACCCCTGGGAGACTTTGTGTTTGGCCCAGCGTGAGCCATGCATGCTCTTTCCTCACCTCCTGTTGGGCACTTTTCAGAGAAAGGGCTTGGCAGGGTAGGTAGTACCATAGAATTTGTTTATTATAGTAAGAGCATGTTAATAGGTTCTTCATTCTGAAGTGTTAGATGTTTCTCTAGCAGACATGTCAGCATGTTGGCTTTTGCCTGGCAGACTAGACGAGTCTTCCTTTAGATGGTTTTTCACTTTTTCAGATTTACCATTGTCAACGTGCACTTAAAATCTATCAGGCCTCTGTTTGCATAATAATCCTGACACCTCAGAACAGTAATTCCCTGTTCTCTTTAAATCTATAAAATTTGGAAAGAAATACTTTCTTCCTTTGTCTGATGGAGTCACTAGGAAGTTTTATGTGTGATAAAGTATATTATATTGCCTGGCACATTAGGCCATCTGTAACAATTTCTGTGATCACTCACATTGCAGGTGATGAGTTATGGTTGTATGGAAGTCCAGTGGCTATGAGCACAGGTCTGGATTAGATAGAACTGGGTTAGTTTGACTTCTTAACTAACTTCAAGACCATGGTTAGGTTACTCAACCGCTCTAAGCCAGTGATAGTAATAATACTTACTGCGTAAAGCAACGTTTGTAAGGCATGAGGGTGGGAGTGTTTATAATGTTTAGATTACTAATGTTTATTTACACGTTTGAATGCAGTTGAAACTTGACCATTTGCAACCTTTATGTTATAGAATCTGATGACCAAAACTACCGGGTGGAAGCTGTACATGCATTGGTGCACAAATTGCCAGAAAAAAACAGAGAGATGCTGGACATCTTAATAAAGCACCTCGTCAAGTAATTCTCTGATTTATGTTCTTCACCTAACTACTTGTTCAGTGTTAAAGTTAGACTTTTCATGTCTTTCTAAAGTGTATGATGGTACTGTAACATTGTTATTATAATCAGTCTATTGAATATGTTTTTTTCAAAAATTTTTTATTGTTATGTTAATCCCCATACATTACATCATTAATTTTAGATGAAGTGTTCCATGATTCATTGTTTGTGCATAACACCCAGTGCTCCGTGCAGAACGTGCCCTCCTCAATACCCACCACCAGGCTAACCCCTCCTCCCACCCCCCTCCCCTCTAGAACCCTCAGTGTGTGTGTGTGTATTGTGTGTGTGTATAGTGTGTGTGTATTGTGTGTGTGTGTATAGTGTGTGTGTGTGTGTATTGTGTGCATATATATAAGAGAGACTGGTTGCAAGGAACTGGCCTGCACTATTGTGAAGGCTGATAAGTCTGAAGTGTGCAGGGCAGCTGGTAGTCTGGAGACTCAGGGAAGAGTTAACATTGCAGCTCCAATCCAAGGCAGTCTGAAAGCAGAATCCCCTTCTACTCAGAGGACCTCAGTCTTTTTAAGACTTTCAACTGATTGAATGAGGCCCACTCATATGGAGGATAATCTGCTTTACTCTGAGTCTACTGATATAAATGTTAATTTAATGCAAAAAAATACCTTCATAAATCATCTAGAATTATGTTTGATTAAATATCTGGGCACTGTGGCCTCATAAATCTGTCTAAAGATTCTCTTTCATACACACACACACACACACACACATACACACACACATACTTGCCATGCTACTATAAACAAAAGTCCAAATTCAGATTTTATTTTTTTTTTAAGATTTATTTATTTATTAGAGAGGATGGGGAGGATAGAGAGAGAAGAAGAGGGAGAGGATCTCCAGCAGTCTGCCCACTGAGCACAGAGCCTGACACAGGGCTTGATCTCATGACCCTGAGATCATGACCTGAGCCGAAACCAAATGTCGGACGCTTAACTGACTGAGCCATCCAGTTGCCCCCAAATTCAGGTTTTAAACTTAAGAATTCCCTTTCAGGCTCATATACAAATAAGGATATTTTCCATCTTAGCGAGTATTATGATTCACAATTAAATGATCCCTGCTTAGTTGCTTACTACAAGTAGTAACCCGGTTTATGCTAATTTGAGCCATACACATTTGAAATAGTGCTACATAACATGTTAATAAGTCTCATCTGAACCTGCAGATGAGATAATATGAATTGCCCTCCTGCCCCTTGACATAAGAAGGAAAGCCACTAGGAACTGCATCATTTCAAGTTCATTATTAACTGTTGCATATGGCAATACCTCTTTTAGTTAATGAACAAGGATTCTTGGTCAAATCTAGTCTTGAATTATGTTTTGAATTGTGTGACTTCTTCATGAAATTTAACTACACTGTATGTATTGGGCATTCTCTTGGTGTATTCAAGCTAATTTTCTAGCAAAGCCTTTTATAAACTGCTTTTAAAAGATACATGAGTGTCACATAAAATGTTTTTGTTTAATTATCCAGAATGTTAGATGAACTCAGACTTCCCCCTTATAGTGAATGTGCATGGCTTTGGTACAGGGGATAGCAGAGGATAGTATCTGGCCATAGAAGAGTGCTTAAAATTCTTTTGCCCATCCTTTATCACCATTCCTCGCTTTTTTCCTGAACCTATACAAAGTCAGTCCCCATTGACTCATGAGCAGTATTATTGGAATGTGTCCACATCCCCAGTGACTTAAGTAAACTACAAACAAGTAATAACATTCTTGATCCCTGGCAACCTTAATATATCTGAAGAAAAGAGAATTTAGGACCAGTGATCTGGATTGGTCACTATCTATAGGACCAGTGACTAAAAGGTTGATTCCAAATCTCTGTTAATTAGTTTTGAGACATGGTATAAACCATTACTTCTTTTCTGAGAATCCTTTTGTCTTTAAAACAAAGGCTATCTGTGGTCTCTTCTTCAACTCTAACTTTGAATATTTAAAAGGGCAGTTGGGTGTCTGTTACCTACAACAAATTGAGGGAATGAGGTGCAGAAATAGCTGAAATGTGGGGTGATAAGTGTCTGTATTGATTGAGTTAGCTCAGCAGAAAGGAAATTCAGTGAAAATTGTTCATCCAAATATTCCATCTTCTGAGCAACACAGTCATAAACTCTCCTTTTTAAAACCAATTTTTTTTTAGGATTTTCAAATGTTTTCCCCATGAGCTTAATATTAATCTTATTTCAGTTTACTCACACTACCAGGAACTCTTACATTTTAGCAAGAGTGGCTAAAGCCAATTTTTACAAGGAAGACTAATGTTTTGAGATCATATTTCCTATAACATTATTTAATTTTATCAACCCTCTAGGGGTCCTTACTCTTTATAGATGAGGAAACTGAAGCCTAGAGATTGTAAATAACTTGGCAGATTGCACCCAGCCTCCAAGTTGGATGGATCCAAGCTTTAAATCCAGACATTCTTTACATACTGCTCTCTTAGTAGATTCTCTAGTACATACTAAGCACTATTTGGTTATGTAAAAAGAAAATGTTGAATGAAACTTTTTCCTATTCTTTTTTTTTTTTAAAGATTTATTTATTTATTTGAGAGAGTGAGAATGAGAGAGAGTACATGAGAGGGGGGAGGGTTAGAGGGAGAAGCAGGCTCCTTGCTGAGCAGGGAGCCCAATGTGGGACTTGATCCAGGGACTCCAGGATCATGACCTGAGCCGAAGGCAGTCACTTAACCAACTGAGCCACCCAGGCGCCCACTTTTTCCTATTCTAACAAAGAGCTTTTTAGCTAGTGCTCTGTCAGGCACAAGGGAAAAATTCAGTCAGTGAGACAATCAGCTCTTCCTGTCCTGTGCTAGGATTTGCATAATATTCAAAATCCTGGATTCTCCATAAAATTTTACTTTTGCTTCTGGAATGTAGTTAGTGATTTAGTGATGCACAATTAGGTATAAACATACTCTTGTGCTGTGCTTCTTTCTAGAACTTTGTATTTTAACAATGTGCCTAGAAGTAAGATAGAAAAGGCAGTATTAACCTAGAAGATTGGTCAAATGAATGAGGTTTTTTCTTAAGAAGTTGCCCAATTGGGGCGCCTGGGTGGCTCAGTTGGTTAAGTGTCTGACTCTTGATTTTGGCTCAGGTCATGATTTCAGGGTTCTGAGACCAAGCCCTGAGTAGGGCTCCCCACTCAGCAGGGAGTCTGCTTGAGATTCTTTCCCCTGCCTCTCCCCCAGCTCCCCTGTGCACTCACTCTCTCAAATAAATCATCTTTAAAAAAAGAATATATCTAATTTCTAAAGTAGCCAAAGTCATTTTTGACAGTAACTGGGATAAGGTAACTTTTGCTAAGGCCAGTAATACCAGAGGCTTTTCCTTTCATTTTCATTTTCAAGCCAGCACTGATGCTACCATATCTCCTTCTCTTACTGTTTACCTAACATAGTGCCCACAACTAAGGAGGCACTCGGGGAAGTTTTGAATGGATGAGTGGATGGATGGGTGGATGGATGGAAGGGAAAAAGAAAGACATTGGCTAGTTGTCTTATGTAGGGAGCTTAAGAAAACCCCTGACATATTCAGGAGACCTGAATTGAAATAGCATCTTTGTTCCCAATTTGCTGTTACATGGAATACATCATTTTTACTTTAGGAGTTTTGCTTTTTTTTTTTTTAAGATTTACTTATTTGAGAGAGTGAGAAGGGTCGGGGAGGGACGGAGAGGGAAGGAGAGAGACAAGAAGACTCGTGAAGAATGGGGAGCCCAACTCGGGGCTCCATCCCAGGACCCTGGGATCATGACCTGAGCTAGAACCAAGAGTCAGACACTTAACCAACTGCACCACCCAGACACCCCAGTTTTGCTTTTTTTTAACCTTTACAATAGGAAAAACAGACTTCCTGGGAGGATTAAATGCAATCAATATCTATGAAAATGCCTGGCACCAGGTTCTCAATATGTTCAGTGTATCCAAATATAATTCCAACCAATCTAATCTTAACCATCTGTTCTAAAAGAAGTATAGTACCCTAGAGACTCCCTAACAACTCATAATCTCTCTAGGGTGATTATATTTAATTTAGGATATCAAGATTTATTCCTTTAATCAAGCTTTATAATTATTTTTACTTAGCTAATGTTACCTTTTTATGTCTTTTTAGGCTATACCCACATATGCCAATTGGGAGTGGTTGAACCTGACTACTAACCTATCATGGCATATTTTCAGGTTGAACCTGAAAACTAACCTATCATGGCATATTTTACATTTTATTTATGCCACAAATTTGATAAATGAGAACAATTGCCTAATTATTAAACATTTAACTTATGTTATTTTTATTGCTCTTATTTGCAGAGTATCACTACACAGCCAACAAAATCTCATGACTGTCTCAAACCTTGGAGTCATATTTGGCCCAACTCTAATGAGAGCACAAGAAGAAACTGTGGCTGCCATGATGAATATTAAATTTCAGAATATTGTGGTTGAAATTCTGATCGAGCACTATGAAAAGGTAGGTTGAATTTTCATGTGGAAGTATCAAATCTTGTACCTTGCTTTTAAGAAGGAATTTTCCATTTGTATTATCTGTGAGTTCATTGTGATCTCAGATTCTTATAAAGTATCAGTCTTGTACATTTTGTATGAATTGCTTCTTCATGAGGACTTTGATTTCTTTTTTTTCTTGTTTAGTTTTTAAGTGCTTCTCAGAATCCTCCAGGTAAATGGTTTTCTTTCCTTTTACATCATTTACTTTTCAAGATTTTCTTCTTTAGTATTTATGTAGTGAATTTTTTGCTCATATTCAGAGAATCTGTTAGAATCACTTGGTGATCAAGTATAGTTTCAACCTTTTTATCTCTCTGGAATTAGACTTAGAGCAGCAGTAATATTCTCAATAAGACAAAAGAATTCCAGAGACAGTCTTGAAGTCCTCTCTGGCCTTTAAACATGGTTTCTTTGACAAGATTGAGATCTTTGAATAACTATGGAAATGGGAAATTGGGAAAGTCACAGTGATTGGATTATTAAGTAAATCCAGCCATTGAAAATCAAAACATTTGTGATCCACTTATGCCTGGTCTAGTCCTTGTCAGAGAAAGACTATGCACTCTCTTTCCCTGGGTCCCTTCTTGGTGCCTGTAGAAGAATATCCTTCATTTATCTAAGGTTGCAAGCACTCACAACCCAAGACCACCTGGCTGTATCCTGTAGCTGTGCTCAGACTTCTCCCTGCAGCTTGTCATGTTCCAAGACAGCTCAGGACCAACAGCATGACAGCACCTTCTCCTGAGAAGCAAGGAACTGCCTGGCTGGGGAAATGATACAGAATGAGCCTCTTCCCTTCAGGTTATGTTCAGCATGAAGCGAGAAAGAAAATATCACAATAGTAAGAGTCAATGTGTCTTGACACAGACATTTGTTCATATTTGAAATTATTGGACAATCTTCTGAAATTCATTGTTGGGAGATTGGGGAAGATAAAAAAGAAAACCCAGAGAGTGGACATGACTCAGTGTAAGTGGAAAAGAAAGTTATAATTGCTGTAGGATATTTTTTATATCAAGCATCTCTTGCCATGAAGCTGATTAAATAGCATATAGTTCTAAGATTATTTATTAACTCACAAATACCATTTTATGATGAAAATGGCAGTTGCCCCCTTTTATTGACCTCTGTCCAATTTTTTTTTTTTTTTTAATGTAGATTTTTCATACTGCCCCAGACCCAAGCATTCCTCTTCCTCAGCCTCAGTCTCGATCTGGATCCCGAAGGACACGAGCAATCTGCCTCTCCACAGGTTCCCGGAAGCCTAGAGGGAGGTATACACCGTGCTTGGCAGAACCTGATAGTAAGTGTGCATGCTGTAGGGAAATGCTTTCTTCATTCTTTGATTTAGCCTTCCCTCACCTTACCAACCTTAGGGTAGAAATAAATAGATGGTTTTACTGATACTGTCTCCCCAACACTCCCCTCCCATTTATATATTCTTTGTCAGTCTGGTTACAAGGTACTTTGAACAAACAAATTCATTACTGCTACAAAGGAAAAAAAATAGTTTGCTCAGTGCCCTTTTTTCCTGCAACTGCTATTAAGTACATCGAGTGCTACTTTGTAGCAGGTTTTGTCCTATTGTCAAAGTGGTAGAGAAGAAAGCAAGAAAAAGTCTGGCTAAAGCAGTCCTTTTCTTTCTTCTTTTCACATTATGTCCTTAAAGCATCATCTCTTGGGTATCAAAGTGTCTGAAAGAGAAAGAGAAAAGAAATACAAAGAGAAACCACACTACACATTATCACTAACTTGCTGTTCTGAACCAAGCCCCACAGCAAAGTGGGTGGCAGCTTGAGCCCGAGGTGCATGTTAAACTTGTTTCGTTTTACTCTACACCCCCATGCCCTGCAATTTTTTCTCACGGTCAGTATTTAACAGAAAACACTAATTTTTAATTTATATATGTTTGAATACTTTATTATAGTTTTTCGGATTTGTTTCTTAAAACTTACTTTTAAGAACATTAAAAAGTAATTCAGTTAAATAGGCAGTTTCTTACATTGCTATATTCTCAGCAGGAAGAGGAAAACGTCCTTTTTTTTTTTAAAGATTTTATTTATTTATTTGACAGAAAGAGAACAGCAAGAGGGAACACAAGCAGGGGGAGTGGGAGAGGGAGTAGCAGGCTTCCCGCCAAGCAGGGAGCCCCAGTGTAGGGCTCAATCCTAGGACCCTGGGATCATGACCTGAGACAAAGGCAGACACTTAGCAACTAAGCCACCCAAGTGCCCCAAAGATCCACAGTTGTTTGTTTTTTTGTTATGTTAATCACCATACAGTACATCATTAGTTTTTGATGTAGTGTTCCATGATTCATTGTTTGCGTATAACACCCAATGCTCCATGCAGAACATGCCCTCTTTAATACCCATCACCAGGCTAACCCATCCTCCCACCCCCCTCCCCTGTAGAACCCTCAGTTTGTTTTTCAGAGTCCATCATCTCTCAGGGTTCGTCTCCTCCTCTGATTTCCCCCCTTCATTCTTCCCCTTCTGCTATCTTCTTTTTTTTTTTTTAAACATATATTGCATTATTTGTTTCAGAGGTACAGATCTGTGATTCAACAGTCTTGTGCAATTCACAGCGCTCACCATAGCACATACCCTCCCCAATGTCTATCACCCAGCCACCCCATCTCTCCCACCCCCCACCACTCCAGCAACCCTCAGTTTGTGTCCTGAGATTAAGAATTCCTCATATCAGTGAGGTCATATGATACATGTCTTTCTCTGATTGGAAAAAGTCCTTTCTTTTAAAAATGTAAGCAGCTTCTAATTTGTAGCTGACATGACTGGTGCCTTTCAGTGAAGAAGGACTCAGACGCATTAACTCAGAATTACTTAACATCAGGAAAATAAAGGCAGAAACATATCTGTAAAATCCCTCCTTCCAGCGATCTCTTATAATGTCATCAATGAATCTTACTACTATTATTTGTGAGTTCTTTTTCAGAAGCAAGTTTTTTAAGTAGGCTCCATGCACAGCATGGAGCCCAGTGTGAGGCCTGAGATCAAGATCTGAGCTGAGATGAAGAGTTGGACACTTAACTGACGAGCCACCCAGGTGTCCCCAGAAGCAAATTTTGTGTGAATTCAAGCCAGCTCACTAATCCTTCAAGAAGTAACATTATTCCATAGGGTCAGGGTACATATAAAATCTTCCTTGAATAGTGTTGAAAAATGCATTCACTACGTTGAAATGCATGTTTTAAAGCCTTTCTCCAGAACAGATGGCGGTTTTCCACACTGGGTACAGGCCTGTTACTCCATTGGGATCAGGTGGCCGCTGAGCGCGTGTGAGTTGGAGAATGGAAGGGTTTGGTTGTGTTGTCTCAGTAGACAGCCGCTGCTGTTTTCTCGCTCCCACCCAGGTGACTCTTACAGCAGCAGCCCAGACAGCACACCCATGGGGAGCATTGAGTCACTCTCCTCTCACTCCTCTGAGCAAAACAGCACAACCAAGTCTGCTTCCTGCCAGCCCAGGGAGAAATCTGGAGGGATTCCTTGGATTGTATCCCCATCACCTTCCAATGGACAGAAGAGTCTTGGACTCTGGACAACTAGTCCTGAATCAAGTTCTAAAGAGGATGCAACCAAAACGGATGCAGAATCAGATTGCCAGAGTGTTGCCTCGGTCACCAGCCCAGGGGATGTTTCCCCACCCATAGACCTGGTCAAGAAAGGGCCATATGGGCTTTCAGGACTGAAAAGAGCCTCAGCTTCCTCTCTCAGATCCATCTCTGCAGCTGAAGGTAAACCAGATTTAAGGTTATATAAAATGTCATTGTCTCTGTATCACTTGCTGGATTATTCAGCATGATTAAGGAGGGAAAAGTTAATGGCGAAGGGGCTAACAATGCTGTTCCTGAGCTAGGATTTTTAAAACTGGTGCACTGGGACTTTTTTCGTGGATCTTTCCATCTCCATGAGGTGATGTTTTTGTAATTACTGTAGATTGTGATCTCTCTGAGTGATGGGCTGCTGTGCTCAAAGAACATTCTGTCCCTTCTCATTTGGGCTTAGAGAAAAATGCTTCCTTTTGTTACGTGCATGTACTGTGTTACTGGTGTTATTTTGTCTGATAGCACCTTGCCTGTTTTCTTGTGTTTTCTCTTTAGGAAGCAAGAGCTACAGTGGATCCATTCAAAGCTTAACTTCTGTAGGTTCCAAAGAGATGCCCAAAGCCCCACCACACCCAGACCTGCCTCCAAAAATGTGCAGGAGGTTAAGGCTGGACACTGCCTCGAGCAACGGCTACCAGCGACCTGGATCTGTGTAAGTGAGAGACAGTTTGTATTTGTTGTATCATCTAGGGATACACAGGGGTTGAGTATGTCCCAAAGAACCTTTAGGAGTCCCGCAGCTGAATGCCTCATCTATAGTGTGGGAACAGTCAACTTCTGAAGGACCCTGTCCTCTTCTACAAATGGTGTATTACAAATTAGAGGAGGCTTAAGATAGATATATTCCACACACATACAATTTCAGTCATTTGCCTTACAAGCAGAACTATGGCTTAATTTAAAGACATGAGATTGGATGTATAATATAGTAGTTCTGGGCTTTGAAACTAGACATTCTGTAAAAGCTAGACATCTGCCTCTCAGCTGAGCCAGCTGCCCATATCCCACCTCCCCCACCTCTCTGTTAGAAATGCAACTGCTGTCTACATTGTGAGGGTTTGTTCTCTCTCCTCTCCATCATCTGTCTCCCCTATGTGGAGAACAAGGAGCGTGAAAGGTGAAAGAGAGTACTTTTAATCAAAAGACCCAGAAATGTAAGTTAGGCCGATAGGATAGAGTACATAGATGTAAATAGGAAGGGGACAAAGAAGAGCAAATGGGAACTTGGATAAAGAAGTAAGCAAAATCTAAAAAGGAAAGTTCTTAGCCCTTTCATTTTATTTTCCTGAGCTTTCCAAATGCTATAATTACTGGGCACCTTAACATATATTATCTCTTAATGTACTTCTTGTCCCTCCACAGTAGGTAGTAGAAACCTCATTTTAGAGATAATGAGAACTAATACTTGGAAAGTTAAGGAGCCCATTTAATTATTCACTGGAAGTCCAGTAAGGCATTCCAGTAAGCCTGTTTCCATAGGAACAGTATCTTAAATTCATTCATTCATCACATCTCCTTTGACAAGAACCTTTTGATTACAGCGTGTGTTTGACATACATTATCTCTCTTGGTCAGAAATCCAACTACCACTATATAGACAAATACTATATTTATAAATCTGTCTACTGTCCAGTGTGTACAGTTCTAGCTATTAAGGAAAAATAAATTTTAAGCCAATATGTCAATATAAATTCCATCCTTTGTGAGGGAAAGAAGATTTGCTTCTGTTTTGTAATTGTACTGATGAAGTAGAAATTAAAATTGAGAGAATATATATTCTGTATTAGGTGTAAAATGACCCTTCATATTATCAACTGCCTAGGTGGTGGGAGAAAAGTTTGTCAATTAAAGAAATAAGATACACTTTAAAAATCTAATTTAAAACATCATTCACAGAATTTGAAATTCTCTTTTAGTAAGTATAGAAACTTTTCTAATTACCCCTGGGTGCCTTAGTTTTAATATAGTCTCAGTTTTTCAAATAGATCATGCGCTCCCTCCCATGATTTGAAATAAGATTTGAATCCACAAATGTTTCAGAGTTCCCTCTTCTCACTTTAAGAACTATGTTCAAATATTTTAAAAAATATGAAACATTTTAGAATTAGTTTTATCTTAGCTCTCAGAATGAACAACAGTTCTTTTGTCTTGATGATTTGATTCTTTCCTTTGGCTCCACAGGGGTCAGTATCACTGCCAGAAGCTGAGTGGGGAGAAAAGGTTCTTTTTTACTGCTCCCACAGTTTTCTGAGGTAGAAAAGATGAGGACAGTAAGATCCCCAGGGGAGGTAGCTATAGGTTTATTACATCTGGTAGTCTATGACCTGGAGACTAGATCTAAAAATTTCTTTCACATTAAAGCTTAAAACAATTAAAATTCAGGTCAGATTTTGTGAACAGTTCTTAACTAATTATTTTTGGTTTGTGTTAACTGATAACCCCGAATTGTACTTTGAACTGAATGATTTTCTGATCAATTTTAATGGAACTTGCATTTTAAAATTATTTTTCAGTGTGGCAGCAAAAGCCCAACTGTTTGAAAATGTTGGTTCACTTAAGCTGGTTTCTTTTGGGCGGTAAGTTCTCAAAAACCTTAAAGTAAAAAATAAATAAATAAAATAGTGGTGACATCGTTGTCTTTTGTTGACATGTTGGGTCATCTTTGACAGCTCTGACCTTCAGGTCTGCCGATGGTCAAATCCACACCCACTGTCTCTTCAGAGGGAAAATTTTGGTCATGTCTGTAAACAGCATTTAGCCTATCACACTGTTGCAGCGATGCCTCATTTACTAAAATCTTCGCAAAAGAAGGGTTCTAAAAAAGTTTTCTGAAAGATACAAGTTGCTATAACCCTTGGCATGGCAAAGACTCCTTTGATGACAATTTCTGGAAAGTTTTTAAAAGTATTCTTTTTCTTTAAATTTTTTTTAAAGATTTATTTATTTGAGAGAGAGTGTGCACATGAATGGGGGGAGGGGCAAAGGGAGAGAGAGAGAAAGAATCTCAAGCTGACTCCCTGCTGCGCACAGAGCCAGACTTAGGTCTCCATCTCACAGCCCTGAGATCACGACCTGAGCCGAAACCAAGAGTCAGACGCTTAACCGCTTAACCGACTGAGCCACCCAGGTGCGCCTTAGAAGTATATTCTTGATTTTAAAAGTTATAGAACTTTTTCTGGAAGAAGCTTTATGAACATGCATTGAAAAATACGCTTATTTTTAATGGCCACTGTGTTGCTGTAGGGCTGATTGGCCTAAGCAGCTCTTTTTTTGAGTATAGGTCTTCATTCAGGTTTCCCAGATTTTACCTTCTTCTCTGTTAAAAGGACATAGGTTGTTACATCTTGCCACTAATAATCTGCTTGCTTCTAAGGTTTCGCTTTCCTCTCCTCCTGTTCCAAATTGATCTTCTCATCCACAGTGGGCTTTGGTTTTTAATTTGAATATGTCTGAAGTAATGGAATTTTTTTAGTGTTTTGGTATGTCTGTTTTTGTTTTGTTTTACCATCAGCAACAGGTCTGAGTCATTCAATAAATGCTTTCTATTGAAAGAGCATATAAATGAGAGCACTTGAAGAACAAACTTTGATTTTTCCTTTGGGTGTACAAAGGCAGTTTTGAGCTTCCCATGTTTGGCTAATCAAAGCTATGAAGTAAAGGAATCACAGTTAATTGAAGTATCACTGTATAGTTATTTTAAAAGTTATTCAACCACTATGTTGTACACCTGAAACTAATATAACACTGTATATTAACTATACTGGAATTAAAATTTTTAAAAAGTTATTCAACCATAGAATTTTTTATTGACCTTTTTAAAGTATGTGGACTTTTGCAGCAAGTGTTTATTAACTACCTACACGATGTTGGGCTTGTTCTAGTTACTAGGGATAACATTGACCTTCAAATTCTGTTTTTTTTGTTTGTTTTTTTTTCCCAAGTCCTAGCAGCGGTCTTTGTGTAGTACTGTTTTCCCAAGTCCTAGCAGGGCTAGGACTTTGTGTATTAATGTTTTTGACTTCACAGAGTAGAGCCACTTTGGTATCTTACTGGGATGTTAGTCAATGTGTTGAACTTACGAACAAATCCCAATACTTGCATTTACTTTACCTCCATCCATAGTATCTTCACTTTCTTCCCTTTTATCAAGGGATGGTGAAAACTAGATACTGTGCATGTCAGAGCAAACATCATTTCTCTGAAACTGTCATCATTTTTAGGCTTTAGTGTAAGGGATTTAACTTTGCTACTTCTGTATTGCTATATAGTTGAATTGCTCCACTAGGTGGAGCCTTTTTATTATGAAGCTCTAAACAATCTGTTAAGTGCTCAAGTTCTGTATCAGAGAGAATCCTTTAAAAACTTGAAGAAAAAAATAATAAATAAAATAAAATAATAAAAACTTTAAGAAAAGAAGCTATTTGACAGAACACTGTCATATACTCAGATGTTCAACAATCAACCTATGCATTTTTAATATGCTTTTAGGTTATGCTCTAAGTCAACTTCTAATGGCTGTCAGCATAAATTTAGAGCTCACTCTGCACTGAAGGTTGGAGTCTTTACTTGTCAACAGTTCCATACCATGTACTGACAGCGTCAGAACTGTTCACCAAGAGACGGGCACAGTGGAGCACAACCGACGTCAGGGTCAGATAGACCCATGTTTAAATTCTTGGTCTACCACTTCCTAGTTACAGTAACCTTGGAGTTACATATTTAGGAAATATATTTTCTCTATCTATAAAATTGAAGGTCATAATTCTTTTGATAAATTGTTGTAAATGTATACTGTAATGTATTTGAAGTACTTGGTAAGTTCTCTGTAGATGGTCTACAATAGTAACTATTATTGTTACTATTTAAGGTGCTTGCTTAAGATATTCAAAGGCTTCTAACTAATACATCAATGGTACTTAATCACTAACTATTAACAGTCACCTGGTACTCTTTTATACCATTAAATACAAGTGAACAACATGTAGAAGTTGAGGGCATTTCCCTTACTAAACTATAATGCTTATTTTGCTTTCTTTCTAGGGAGTTTAAGGTTACCCCTGAATTGGATCTTGAAGAATGATAGAGCCAGTAGTGGGTAGTAGGATGACTAGCCATGTTTGGGAAAGAGACCGAGTAGGAGATTTCAGTGGATGGCTTTGAAAAACAGGAAAGTAACACCTACAGGACGTACTGCAGAGTCTGGGTCATTGGGCAGAGGGGTAATCTAATCATGGATATACTTGAACAGATCCAGTGGCTTTTCTAGGAGGTTGTGAAGTGGAAAGAACATTTAAGATGGAATTGGTGAGATTTAAAGCGCCTTAATTAGGGCAGTAACAAAAGCATGAAAAACTATAAGGAGAATTTTATGGATCAGAGCAGGATTTGACAACTGCTTTGATACTTTGGGAGTGAAAGACAGGTAAAGAAAATTCCAAGTCTTTGAGACTGAGTGTCAGAAAGAATAGTAATTTAGTTTCTGATCTTAGCTTGTGAGTACATAGGAGGGGAAAGGAAAGTTTTGACCATAATGTTTGAGGAGCCTGAGGAACACTGAAAGGCAGTTAGAAATGGGCAACTGGGGACACCTGCATGGCTCAGTTGGTTAAGCGTCTGCCTTCAGCTCAGGTCATGATCCTGGGGTCCTGGGATCAAGCACCACGTCAGGCTCTCTACTCAGTGGGGAGCCTACTTCTCCCTCTCCCTCTGCCTGCCACTCCCCCTGTTTGTGCTCTCTCTCTCTCTGTCAAATAAATAAAATAAAATCTTAAAAAAAAAAAAATGTGCAACTGAAACCAGGACAGAGCATGGAATTTGGTGCCATTTGAGAAAGTTCTACACAGCGGTTACACTGCAGAGATAAACGTAAAGGTACTCAGTGATGGAACTTACTGAGTAAAAAAGGAAAAATGGCCAGCATTGGTCTTTGGTGAATGGTTTAAGTGATTTAAAGCTCAAGCAAAGAAGAATGTGAAGGAATGATCAGAAATAATGGTCAGTGTGGTAGAAGCAAAAGTGTGAAGGAGATCATTAGAGGACAGTGGTTTTAATCTCTAAGGCATCACTGGAAATCTTTAAGAAATCAGGTTCAGTGGAGTACGAGGGGCCACTCTTCAAGGGAGCTTGACCTGTAAGCTTGTTAATGTGAAGATTCCTGCATTGCTGCCGACTCTGAAACCAGAATATCTGAGACTGAGATGTGGAGAATATGAATTTTTGACAACCTCCCCAAGTGATTCTTATGTACAAAAAAAAAAAAAAAAAATTTTGAGAACCACTCGAATAGAGAAAAATGTCATAGTACTTAGCATATCCCTAAGCAGACATTGGTTATTTACAGTTGTTCTCCTTAATCTGGAAAATGGCTTTAAGAGCCAACTGTCGCTAGGTTCTGTTTTACCATTATAAAAGCATGTGAAAAATGATATCCATAAAGCCTTTACCTCAATGTTAGTTATACTTGGGCAGAGGGAAAGATCCACTTTTAAAGTAATATAATTTAGGCAAGCTATACAGATATCTTCTGAGGGTTGAATTGAGAATTATGTGCTTGAGAATTAAGAAAATTGGGAGTGCTTGGTTCATTATAAGCAATAACATATTTCTGTTATCATAATTTCAAACCAATGTTTTGTTTGTAATTACAAAGCACCAACACAAAGCTCAACAAAGTCGTCTCGTCCAGTGAGTTTGAGATTTAAGAAGGCTGTCACTGTTTAGAGCATAGTGACACATGCAAGATACACATAAGATAAATCACTGTGCTACATTAAGAAACAAAAAAGAATCCATGATTTTTAAGAATAACAACTTTCTCTTCTTTTAGAGAATGTAGAGAATAATCATCTAAAAAAAGTGAAGGGAAACCACCTCTGATTTCATTACCTGAAGATAACCACTGTTAACGTTTTGGCTCACAACCACCTAATCTCTATTATGACCATGGTTCTCAAACTTTTTGGTCCTAGAAAGCCATTATATACATAAAAAAAAAATTATTGAGGACCCCCAAAGAGCTTTTGTTTATGTGGGTCGTATCTTTTTTTTTTTACTTTTTTTATTGTTAATCACCATACGTTACATCATTAGTTTTTGATATAGTGTTCCATGATGCATTGTTTATGCATAACACCCAGTGCTCCATGCAGAACGTGCCCTCTTTAATACCCATCACCAGGCTAACCCATCCTCCCACCCCCCTCCCCTCTAGAACCCTCAGTTTGTTTTTCAGAGTCCATTGTCTCTCATGGTTCGTCTCCTATGTGGGTCATACCTTATTTATATTTATTATATTAGAAATTTAAACTGAGAAAATTTTTTAAATTTATGAATTTATTAAAAAAAGAATAAGCTAATGCAACTAAAGGGTGATAATAGCAACACTTTTTGTTAGAAGACAGAATTGTGATTATTCACTTTTACTTAAGTCAACAATTATCAATAATAGAAGTGATTTTTTTTCAGTATTATTAAGAGACTTCACAGCTAATATCCAAATAGTCACCAGAAATGTCTTATACCAGCAATCATGAGATGTAGATTCTAGCCTGACTTTGCCAAACTTTAATTTCTCTTGGACTTCATTTCTACATATAGAAGATGAACCAAGGAAGTAATTGTTTCCTTTCAAAATTCAAACTCCTATCACCTAAGTCACCGATAATCACAAGTCCTCCAGCATTTGGGGGTCACCCTTTTCTGTGAAACTGAGGCAAATAGTTTATGTGCCTACCCCCAGGTCACAACAGGGTCTAGCCTCCCTACCTCTTCCAAAGGCCATATTCTTAATGTGTTTAAGACAACAGAAATTGTTTTACATCTACCACTAACCCAGGCCACATGGAAGCCCACTCCTCTGTTGTGGCCATGCTGCAGTCTGCTTTCGTTCCTTAATGATGGTGACTGCTAAGAGCTCAGGAACTGACACCTCTCTTCCGTAATACCACCAAAGCACCATTAATACAATAACAAATATTTTTTAAAGGCCATTACATATTAAAATAAATTTTATGAAAAATATTTTCTAATACAAAGAGTTACATTATTTTACATTTTTACAGGCCTCTTTAATATATGGCATAATAGGAAATAAATGGCTTCTCATACACACCTCATTTGCTATCAGAGCAATGTCCTCTCAGGGTCCCATCTTCCCATCCATCCAGGTTCCCCTTGACTATACTTTTTGAACTACTCACTCCTCTGTGATAAACACAGAAAAGGAACCCTGAAGATTGTATTCACTTTATTGTTCCAACATAGTGCCCAACACAGGGAAGATGCTCAACAAAATTGTTAAATAAATGAATAAAATACACATTTTTAACTTAAAAAGACTCAGTTACTGGGGCACCTGGGTGGTTCAGTAGGTTAAGCATCAGACTCTTGATTTCAGCTCAGGTCATGATGTCATGGTTATGAGATCGAGCCCCTCGCTGGGCTCCATGCTGAGTATGGAGACTGCTTGAGATTCTCTTTCTCCCTCTCCCTCTTCCTCTGCCCCTCCCCTGCCTGCTCACACATATGTGGACATTTTCTCTCTCTCTGTTACTCACATTTTCACCTCATCTTCAGTGGAGTTGCAGTACACGTGCCTTTGACATAAGCAGCACTGACTCTACAGGCTCCCGTGGGAGTTCGTTAGCATCGAGGCATTCAATACTCAGACATCCACGCCAGAAACAGCCAGTATCTGTTGACAAAAGCCTAAGAGAGGAACACGTGACTAACTGAAGAACTCTCCAAACAGTGACCGGAAAGCAAATGCAGTATTTATCGTAAAGAGTTGTGGGCAATTTAGGGGTTTTGCAAGGACACATTTTTTTGTAAAATTTTTATTTTATGTGCTAGCACTGTTTCTTGTCATGTGTTCTACTTTATTATTTGTAGTAGCTGCCTAGTGCTTTATTGGATTGGTGTGTGTTAATTTATTAAATCTTCTCATGAAGACTTTGTGATTTTTTTGTTTTTAGCTTTTCTATATGTTACTACTTTGGCACCTTTTTAACTATATCTGTGTGCCTCTCTCTTTCCTTCATACAAAAAGTGTGTGTGTGTGTGTGTGTATCATTAAGGGGCTCTCCAGAAAATATTGTATCACTTTTGATTACGTGACATTTTAAAATGTTGCTTATATTAAGATAAGCATTGTGAATTTTACACACTCACCCTATCAAACCTTTGTAAGTCTACTCATCAGTAATAGCATTTAGAATTAAGAATGGGTCTTGTGAACAGACCATCCTCTGGATGATAAGGGAAGGAATGGCTTTCAGGATGCTGAGTGCCATTACCTTACTTTCCCATGCAATAAGAAGCAAGATTTTCAAAATTCTTTTTAAAGGATATTAGGATTTTCTGAAGAGAGACTCAATAGATGACAGTGTTATTTTCACATCTTCAATATACCAAGGCAGTAAAAGAGGAAGCATTAACACCTGGAGAGAAAACTTCACTGTCACAGACTTCTACATTAAATCATCAAAGCTCTCTGCTGAGTTAACACCTGTAGTTACAGATCTCAGCAGAAGAAAATTATACCTGTCTAGTCGTATGCACAAATAATTGAAAAGTCATGACAGATAATATTTTGTGCTATGTGTTTTTGACACATTTAACTATCCATTTATTTAGGATTATAATTATTCTACATGCCTCCCCCTTGCTATCCAATCCCATAAAATACTAAAGAGAGAACATTCATGTCTGAAATATTAACAAAAATAGTTCGGTTGCATTTAGAATATAATTTAAAAAATTATATCATTGTAAGATTATTATATCTTAATGATTTCTATAACTGAAAAGTGTTACCTTACGCATCTCCTAATGATTCAAAGTAGTAAGACTTACTATTAGAGGAAATTTTTGCTGTTAGAAGATTTGATTTTTTGAAAAATCTACATATTTTTAGAGAAATGACTCTGGAACCCTCAATTACATCAGACATCAGATTATGTCAGATCGAATTATGCCAAATTATATTAGATTAAATGATTATAATTGACTGGAAGGTTTATAGGAAAAACTAATATTCTGTCTATTTAAGATTGCCATGGTCTGGTTCTTAGAAGTCTTCATAACTTGGTAATATCCTCTTCCCCCACACCCACGCCCATGTCAACCAACACATCCAGGCACACGCATTCATGTGCATGCATGCACATACACACACATACACATGGCTCTTTAGTGTAGGAGTCCTGTCCTTCTCTGGGTACCTGTACTTCCTCAATTCTTCCTTAGACCATGTTGCATTGGGCTAGTAGTCATTTCTAAATCTGCCTGCTGAAGGCTGTCCTAGCAAACTTTCTGAAAGTACAGCCTGAGACTCACCTCATGAAATAGACTCTGGGGGTAGGAACATAATTTTTCTCTAATTTTTAACTTTCTAATTTTCAGATATATGTTTGGGAACTCCAGTATAAATGACCTAGTCTCATTCTGGAAGTGTAGGGAATAAGACCCAGCAACTAGCTCCAAAGGGAAATGAAATAATGTTACACTATTCTTTGAGAGAGTTATAGATAGCAAACACTGCTTGCTGATGCTTTTTTGCGGGTAAAGTACTGAGACCTCAGGGAGGAAAGGCAAGGTGCCTTCAGTTTTAAAATGACTCATCATGTAGAAAACAGAGCCCAGAGCATCTTACCTTTTTTCCCATTCATTGATTCAGCAAATACTGAGTTACTAAGCATCAAGCATCATTCATGGAGCTTATATTCTAATTGGGGGGAGATTATAGAACTGTCAATAGTAACAACAGAATACCAGATATTAACACCATGCAGACTTAAAACAGGTGAGTATGATAATTCCCCAGGCAACTATTTTACAGTGTGTGCTCAGGAACACCTAACCATTAGCAAAAGTTTAGGAAATTTAAGATGAACTAGAAGTGCAAAGCCATGTGAAGATCAAGAGGAGAACATCTCAGGGCGCCTCGGTGGTTCAGTTGGTTAAGCATCTGCCTTCAGCTCAGATTGTGATCCTGGGGTCCTGGGATTGAGCCCCGCCCCCCCGTCGGGCTCTCTGCCTGCTTCTCCCTCTCCCTTTGCCTGCCACTCCCCTTGCTTGTGCTCTCTCTCTCTCTCTGTCAAATAAAATCTTAAGGAAAACATCTCAGGACAAAGCCCTGATAGTCCTGAGGTGGGAATGAGTTTGGCATGTTTGAGGAGGTGAAGGCAGGCCAGTGTGACTACAGTGTAGTAGGTGAGCAGAGGCAGGTATGGAAGAAGCAGGAGATACCGACAGGTACCTGATTATGCGTAGTGTGGAGGCTACCTTTAGAAACCAGTTGAAGGGTTGTTTTCAGGGAAATAATGTCATCACATGATCATCAGGACCTTTTTCAAGCTGCCGCCTGGCTGCTCTGTATAGAATGGATTGTAAGGAGACAAAATAGGAAGCCTAGAGGATTTAGAAAGCTAGGAAGCCGTTTCGTGAGCCACACCAGAAATGACTTCAGCTTGGACTCTGGTTGTGATACAGATGGTGAGAAGTACGTGAAGTCAGAATAACTTGCACGTTGTGTTGCCAAGGTAATTGGATGTTGAAGAATAAAGGTGACTTGACTGGTGACTTGATGAGCAGCCTCAGTTGATGGCTTTTTAGTATAGGCTAAATATTTAAAAACAGATCTCATACAAAACTCTGAAATTCTGGCTTCTCTTTTTTTTTTTTTTTTAAGATTTTATTTATTTGCGAGAGAGACAATGAGAGACAGAGAGCATGAGAGGGGGGAGGGTCAGAGGGAGAAGCAGACTCCCTGCCGAGCAGGGAGCTCAATGTGGGACTCGATCCCAGGACCCCAGGATCATGACCTGAGCCGAAGGCAGTCGCTTAACCAACTGAGCCACCCAGGTGCCCTCTGGCTTCTCTTAAGAAAAAGAGTATCTGGTTACATTGAGTCTGAATTCTCATGTGAGTGTTGGTTTACTACTTCAGGAGATGGGTGTAGGCTCTGGTTTTCAAAGCCTCCATCTGTCCTCATTGTCTCCTTGACAATGAGGCTGTTGTTGGTTGCCATTTATCATCAATTTATCCTATCGTTTTTCTTGTATCATGCCCACTTAATTTATTTAGTATACTCTGTAGGCCTTTAATTTTGGGGTCTCACCTCTGATAGTCTGAAAAGAAAGTACATAAAAAGCCTTAGGGTACCTATGAATATCTAAATAAGTGTAAAAATGGCCTGTTTGCCAGTATACTCTTACATAATAGTATTCTTTAAAACCAGTTTGTGCTGTTATAAGCCAGGTTAATCACCCTTGGGGACATTTCCTGGAAACACAAGACAGGTTTTTGGTGTGCTGTCAATGTTTGATTTCTTGATCTCGTTACACAAGCGTACTCAGTTTGTGGAAGATGCTCTTATGCACACTTACATGTGTGTTTTATGTATGTTATACTCCAATTACAACTAAAAACTAGTATCAGTTTTAAGAATAATTTAAAGTATAAATGTACTTGATTGTTGTGGATTTCATAAATTGTTTTTTGCTCTTTTCAGCCAAGCCAAAGCCATGTACTCTTGTAAAGCAGAGCACAGCCATGAGCTTTCCTTCCCACAGGGGGCGATATTTTCTAATGGTAAGTCTACCCATTCCCTTCCCTTAAGTTCATTATCATGGGGAAGATGAAGGAATAGTGTAGGGAAAAGAAGCTAAAATAGAAGCCAGGAGACTCAGAATCTAGTCCAGGCTCTGCCTCTCATAACCTGTACCAGTGAATGCATCACATTCCTCTGCAGCCCAGTTTCTTCTGTGTATTCAAGAGAGGCAGAGGGAACAAGGGTTGGGGGAGGTAGGAAAGATGGAAGGATGGGAGGGATTGGGGAGGAGGAGAGATTGGTTACATGAATGCAAAGGACATTTCCAGCCTTAAAGGTGCTGTGACATTGTTTTGACAACTTGAGTGTATATATGCAATCTGATGTGGATTTTTACCCATTTATGTATATAATTATTTGAGGCTAATGTTGACTGAATGACATTTTTTTTTTAATTTTTTGTCAGTGTACCCATCAGTGGAACCGGGATGGTTGAAAGCAACTTATGAAGGCAAAACAGGACTCGTTCCAGAAAACTATGTTGTCTTCTTCTAATACTGTTTAGTGGATGGCAGTATCTTCATGGTATCCATGGTAACAATAATAAGTGCTATGATTTTATCTGACACAGATATGGGAATCAGCCCACTAAATGAAAAGTAAATTTCTGTTAAGTTTCTACACCAGCAGACTATGTAGCTCCCTATAAATGGAAAAGAAAAAAAAAAAATGCTTAAATTGCTTGCCATGCCATTCTTTTTATTTTTTACTTCTTGACTGGTTTCTTATTTTAAAATCTTTCTTCCCCTGTTTTTTCTGATAAGTAACTCTACACATTGTCTCTTCCATAACAATTGTAGAATCTCAAATACTGTGTTAAGTACTGTATCCCAGAAATTTGGAAACTAGAAATTTGCTGTAAGGATTTTTAGATATGTCCTTTACTGTCTGGCATTCTCTGAGGAACCTTGAAATCATTACTTAAAAATGTAATTTAAATTGTTCATTTATTTTTTTTCTTAAGAATTTACTTCTTTTATATATGATTGTTTTGCTGGTCCTAAACATTTCAAGGAATAAGTTTTTTTTTTAACATAAGTTTATTTTTATTTGTTTACCAAGTAGATGATATTCAAAAGGAATAATGTATATGATGTCTATAAATGAAATCAAATTAAGTCATACACTGATTTCAATATAAACACTCCACTCAGCATTCCAGATGCCTTCTGTGGGCATAGCAGGGATTAGCAAACTATTTCTGTCAAGGCCTGATAGTAAATATTTGGGAGTTTTGCAGACCGTGAAGGTCTTCACCATAATACCCAACCCTGCCATTGTAGCAGAAAGCACCCATAGACCATGAATAAGCAAATGAACATGGCTTACTTAGTACCAATACAACTTTATTTATGGACCCTGAAATTTGAAAATCAAAATTCTCACATGTCCTGGAATGTCATCCTTCTTTAACTTCTTAAAATCCATTTAAGAATAGAAGTATTTTAGCTGATGAGCCATACAGAACTGGTGGCAAGCCAGATTTGACTCATGGGTCTTGGTTTGCTGACGCCTGGTTAAGAGGATGTATAAAGCTATCTTTATAATTTGGGGGTTTTATGAAATTTTACTATATTAACATATAAATAACAACACATAACATGTAATTTTACTACATCAACATGATAAGTCATATGCATATATCATCTCCTAGTGGCATCACAAAATATAACTACAGTAATAGGAAAACAGTGTAAAAAGTGCAGTTTTAAGGCATGCAGCCTGAATTGTACTTGAGACACTGTGAAGTGTCAACGTATATTATTGTTATCTAATTTTAATTTTGGCTTTTGAGAAATTCTTGTACAAATGAATAAGATGTTTTTTAAAGACACTAGTAGAAAAGCTATGCGTTTTAAATTCTACACTTAATTGCAATAGAAACCAAACATAAAGATACAGGATTCTTAAATTATTTTGAGCCACAGAATTTAAAATTGCTTAGTCATCTTTAGCAGGAATAAAATCTGTACGTGATTTTCTTTTATGCTTTTCAGTTTACAGCCTTTATTAAGAATTCACTGAATTTATAAAACATAGAAATAGGTATTTACTACCAATTTAAATGTATCACCAACATCTAGTCATGCATCAGCCATTATTTCTGTTATTTCTATTTCAATTATTCTAAAATGTTATTTCTATAAATATCTGCATGTAGCAAAGAGCCTTTTTTCTCAAGATTCCAAAAAGCCAGTTGCTCACCATTGCCTCCCACAGGACTGGTCCACTGGGCCATGATATTTTACTTGTTACTTCGGAGTTCTCCACTGTACAGACACACTCAGGTATTGACTGCATAAAACTCTTTTTATGTGATTATATAATCTGTAGTCTCAATTTCTTCTACTTTAAATGAATGTTTCTAGAGTTAACAGGTTAAATTATGTGTCCACACATATACACACAACTATGTCTTGGAGCATTTATGCTTTTAAAATTAAAAATGGAATACTGGATTAGAACTTAAAAAGAATAACTGTAGGCAGAGTCACAACCAGAAATAAGTATCACTGCATTGAAATAAAGGAATGAAAAATATTTAATGTTGTAAAAATTAGTAATATAATGAAAAAATCTGATAAATGTTTATTTTTTACCTCCTGCTATTTGATCCTTGTATACTTATAATCAGGTGTTGCTAGAGCTTTTTGGTCTCTAGATCCTTGGTGGCCCTTACTAGTAATAATAACATTGCTAACACCCTGACTACCCTCTGCTGGAACAGAAGGTAGTTTTTCCAATGTACCAGTCCCTTAGTTATATGACACTCTCAGTTTAAACACCCTTGCCATCATCTGGCATCCTACTAGATTAGAACCTCTTAATGGCAAATTGATTTTCTTTCAAAGACCAACTTGACTCCAAAGAAAGATTCAGAATTCTACTTCACTTGCTGCTGCATAGAGAAATCTCAGCCTTCATTTTATTTTAACACAGACCAGAGTGTTCCTTCCTCTGAGTTGTCTGAGAGCTAATTCCACTGATGATCAGTAAGGAATTAAAGGTCTTGCTGTATAAGACATGAATGTGAAGCCCAGCTCTCCTTTCTCATACTGAGGCATTTATTGTGGCATTACTTACTATGGTCCCTTTTTTGAAATAGACATACAAGTGCTTTTTCAAATTGTACTTCTTTCTGCAGTTTTAACATTATAGACTTATGGGTATGGTCCTTTTTCCTTCATATTGATTATATGTGTAAGTAAGTCATGGCCATATACTGCAGACAGACTAATGCTGCTTTTCCTTAGAAATAATTTTCCTACAGATAAGGTGTTTATGAGCATTGAGAAAATCAAGACATGTGCTCTAAATTACATGAAGTATTAATTACACAAGAAGGTGATGGCAGTCATTGAAACAGGATCACATTAAAAGTTGTAACCACATTTCAATAATGAAACTTTAGCTTTTCGGGGACGGTATGAAGATATGTTAGAATTGCCACATGCACACCTTCAGAATGCACAGTGTGGACACCCTAAACACCTCTTACAGTATAATCAGTATGAGGGAGAGATTGATAAGTCTAAGTTAATCATCTTGTGTACATTGTGAAAATATCAAGTACAAAACATTTATATATTTAAAAAGTGACTCTTTTGTTATGCCATAACTTTACCAAGTTTATAGAAACTAGTCAGTTAACTAAAGGCTTTTCTTTGTGTAAATGTCTGAAAAGTAAAATAATCTTTGTATTCCTGTGAAGTCCATGAAGTATGAGGAAGTGCCATTTCTTCTTGTTTGATTTGAGTGGTTTTGGTAGTTGTCTTGGCTCTCTGTGCTTTGTAATGTGAGTGAGGGCAACCAAGTTTCTCAACAGTGGCTTCTTGGCTGGCTCTTTCAGGGATGGTGGAGGAAAAAAAATGTACTTTATAATCTCAAACTATCCAAGTTCCCAAGTAGGAAAAATAAAGATACACAATAACTTTTATTCTTACCCTATGATAATTGGTTTTACATATTGCAGCACGCCTTTTAAAAAAACACCAGGTTGAAAAAAAAAAGAAAGTCCATTAGGTTGTAAGGAAAAAAAGTTTAGCACCGTAATCCTGTGGTGATAACCTCATTCACCTTATTACTCCCAGCCTCATTGTTCAAGTCTGTGTTTATTTCTGATATGAGAAGGATATCATTCCTATGGATGCTGGTGTAGGAGAGTCCTTCAGAGCCTTCTTTCAAACAACTGTACCTGTAGTATACCCCTTAATTATGTATTCAGGATGCTTTAATTAGCATTTAGAGCTCCAATTTGAATTATATTTTATTGACTTATTGACTTACAAGTCAGTAAGACCATTTACAGTCAGATTTTGTTCTTTGTTTTTACAGTACCTTGGTAACTTGCAGCCGTTACTATGTATGATCTAATAACATCACTGAGTAGGACCCCAAATCATATCTCCTGGTAAAGAAAAAAACAAGAGAATTTACTATTGTCCAGAAGTTATTTTGCACTTGACTAAAGGTTTCCCATTATGGTAAAAATTGCTATTTACTTTTGGTTCCTGTCTTTTTTGGTTACCTTCAAAAATCAAAACCATTTTTACAAATGAAGTTAACCTTTTTGAATAGTCTATGTCCTGCCTGTCTCCTGTTGAGCTACAGACTTATTGCCAGCTATTTATCAACTGGTCTTAGTTGATACATTCACTGTATCCATTAGTTGTCACCAAAATCTCCCTGCTTCAAATGTGCAATCTTAGATGAACTCTGGCTTATAAGTGACATGTGCTTTTAAAGGATCAGATCAATAATAAATAAGATTTTTCATTTTTTATGGCAGCTGCATCCACTGTTTTAAATCAGGAATTTCAAATAATGTTGACAGCACTCGCAGTGAGCCATTGGCAGAAAACCGATCTGAATATTCTAGAACAGTGTTCAGAAGCTGTTGTATTAGTTAGGGAAGCCAGTAGGTCATCACTTCCCTCCCTGGCCCTCAAGAGAGATGCCAGGTTCAGAGGTAGAACGTTTCTTGGTGCTATGGGGAGAAATGGAGTCTGTGTGTTTACTGAGGAGTCCCAAAAGGCAGGAGTCATTTATAGTTATTACAAACATAAATATCCATCATCCAAGATGTTCATTATAGGGCTATGTTAGGAATTTAAGTAATGGAGGGGGGTGGGGGCCAAAGGTGCTGACACCACCTAATTATGACCACTTTCTCCCCTTTGTACCATCTGCCATCTCTCAGCAGTGTTTCCTTTGGGCTTTACCCTTCCAGGGTTGAGAGTAGCCTGACTTTGCCTTAAATCCATTCAGTCTCTTAGATTAAAAGTGTGCATTGTTTTCTCTATGGCAGCATGTTAGAAGTTTTACATATGGCTTTGCATCTTCATTTACCTTTTTACAAACACTGACTGCACATGATTTATGCTTAAAGTCAGATATCATCACATTGAGGGCTGTGACTTCAGGAAGATCTGAAACCTTTACAACTAAATAGGGAGTTTGGCAGGGAAGATGACATTTTTTTAAAAATTCAGAATCCTATTTATATACTGTTAAAATTTAAAGTACTATAGTTTATATTAAAATTGAATATTTAGATATTATATTTCAGTACTAGGAATTTTTTTGTAGCCACTAACATGACAGATTAATAAATATGATGAAAATGATTGTCAGTAAATTATCATATTGAATTGTTTGTAGTGTTTCTGTATTTGTCTTCACTTTGTGTATATATACACACATATACAAAAATATGTAAATAACCTCATGTTATTCCTAATTTCAATTGCCACATATCTTTAATGTATGTTGACACTGTATTTTAAATTACTTAAAAAATAAACCATGTAAGCACATTTTAATTTAGTCTTTGTACTTCAAGAGCCACTGTGTTGGATTCATATAGAGAGAAAAACAAAGTTTCAAATACTGTGAATGGTCATTTTGAGTGTGGCTGAGTGGAAAATCATAGAATTAATAATCTTTTCCTGACAGTTGGACCTTTTCCTAAGAAATTGGCATTATGACAGATCAGGAAAATGTTAATGTTGGTACCTATTAATGATGCACGTGTCTACCAGAGAGAGAAGTAGATGAGCCACAAACAAAATATCAAATATAACAGGTATGCAGGCTTACCCAAAAATATAAGTTTGCAAAAGTTTACAAATGTGCTATGGAAGAAGTATCAGCATGAAAACTACACCCTTAGTTTTTTATTAGTTTTATGACCCTTTTGGTCACTATTTGACTTCTACCTAAAATTTTGTTTTTCTGTATCAGAAAAAAAGAGAATCATGTATTTATTTTGTGCTGCTAGGGTGGATTGTTGGAGCGCAACACTTACCTTGCAGAACCGTAAGCCTGACAGATTAATAATAGGTCCACTGAGCATACAACCTGATTTGCTCAACTGGATTGTACCTTCCTCAGTATTAGAAGAGAAGCGATAAATTCATGACACAAGACTGTTGAGATAAAAAGACTAATGTGAATAAATTCCAGTATGAGTAAGCAGGAAAGGACTCCTAGTATAGATATTAGAAATCATTGTGGATCAGCCACTGTTTGGGAATGTTGGGTTGGAAGGAATCAACCTAGGCTGGACTCCCTTATAATAACTGATATTTTAGAAATAGCAAAAACTAACTCCCAATAGCCAAAACTAGAATGGTTTGAACAACAAAATAAGTAATATATCAGATGATTGGGTTATGACCCAAATTATAAAATATCCATGAATCTATACTGATACAAAGGACAATAAATTTTGTTTATGTAAACACATGTAAAATAGGGAAGAGACAGATACTCTTCAGAGAAGAATTCCAAATAATTGGAATTATTCTACTCTTTCCTCTAGGTGGTAGAGTTTAACTTTTCCCTTGTTGAGGATGGGCTGTTAGACTTAGTGACTAATTTCCAAAAAGAGTATGGAAAACGATTGTAACTTGACAGAGAAGCCTGTCAGATACTATCCTAACCAAGTGATAAAAGTTAACATCATCCGTGATACCATGTGGTTATCTTGTAATCCATAATATGATGTGATGAGAAAAGCCTGTCAACTCTGTGGTTTTCTTTCCCCAAACCCATATCTCCAGTCTAATCATAAACAAACACCAGACACATCTGGATGGGGGCCATTCTACAAGATAGATACTAAATCAGTAATTCTCCAGACTGTCAAGGTAATGAAAAATAAGAAATTGTCACAGATAAAAGGAGAACTGGGAGACCAGACAGCTGAATGCATTGTGAATCCCTGGATTAGATCCTAGAAGGGAAAGAAGACATCAGTGGAAAAACTCATGATATCCAAATAAAGTATAAAATTTAGTTAAGAGTGAAAAAAAAAGAAAACAGTAACAAAATCAGCCACAAGATCGTGACATGAACTAGAGCCACCTTATCTCCTTTTTGGAATTTAAGTCACTTTTATTCAAGATTTAAATACTTTCACGTTTTTCCCTACTAAATTTTGGGATCTGTGAGCAGGACATACCACTAGTTCATTGCCGGGTTTCAGGCAGTTGAGATCAGCTTGGTATACACCACGGCCCGCCCCTTTCATTAAATGAATAAATTCACTAGCAAAGGAATAATCATTGTAAACTGTTTCAGGATTTAGATAATGCAGTTGTAGGCTTGGGTTGTTTTCTGTCTGTGTCTTCTTGCCCAGGAATAGTGGAATTCATTCTTTAACATCCTGTGAATGTATGGTTCACCATACATATGTATATATCAGTGGAGTAAACATATCCCCCCACACACGGATATTATGTGTTCTTAAGGATTAGACACAGATTTGCTCTTCTCAGCACTGGACCTATAAAAACTTGGTTGATTGAGCTGAATGATTTAAGGATGATGTTGAAGAACTCAACTTCCTAAACCATTAAACACAAAATAACCCCAAAAGAAGCTATGTTAAACTTAAAGTTGAATTTCTTGAGCCAAAGAAGTTGTACTGTTAAAATTTCACACAGCCAAAAATTTAGAAGCAAAATCTTTTCCAAGTTTTTTATACAATGGTTCAAGTTGTTTTTAAAAAAAAAAAATGTAGATGAAAACATTTGAAACCTCTTTATGTAGGATGCCCTTGGAAACACAAATCCCCAAAATACTGAAATTGAATGCTTGTGAATGCTGTTTCTGGATGTTTAGGGTAAATGAGTCAAGCATGGCATTCAGCAGGACTCTGCTTGTTGATAGAAATTAGTTACGTAGAAATTAGTTATCTGAAACATTCTACCTCCAAATTGCCGGAAGCCTGTCTCCTGAAAAAGATTCTCAGGATAGGCTGGGCTAGAGAAAGAAAAATAACAGCCTATCTCCCAATCCTCATTATGGTTTTAAATATTCACTAAATCACCTATTTACAGAAAGATTTTTCACAGAATGAATGAATCATAAGTTGCCTTAGCAAATATACAGTTTAAATGCCTTTCAAGCATTTTTGAAGTAACAATTATTTCTTCAAATAAATCTGACTTGAAACAATATGTTAAATATGATCCAAGCTACTAGAATGTGTGCTTACATGTGTGTTAAAGAATGCCTTCCTTCCTCCATCCAGGCCCACAGCCTATCTGGCATCTCCCTAGAACACTTAGGGCTTTTTAGAACAAGTATGGAAATGACTTAGTCTAAATTTCTGCAAATTTGGAGACTGGGGCCATATCAACCCCTTTATAGCAGAATCATGACTCTTCTCTCTGCTGTTATCTGACCACTAACTTCTTGAATATGTGGGGAGGGTAGCTTCTCCTATGCTTTCATCTTTCTGAAGTCTAACCTTATCTGAAAAGGATATCCTCTGATAAATATCTTCCCTGATAGGCACACAGGGAGCAGAAAAGCCAAAAAAGTAAGATTCAACCAGACTTGGCTGTTTAAGGAGAAAGACTTTTTTTTTTTTCTTAATTTTTGGTTTGTGAAAATTTCTGAAAATAGGTATAAAATACCTAGCCTAGTGCCTTGTACCTAGTAGGTATTACTGGATAGCTATATTAAAGACTCCAGGGGTTTTATAGTTGAGTTTGCAGATTTCTGATGTAAATGGCAAAAGAATCAGTGAAACATCAAACAGTATCAATAGAAGTTAAATCATGGCTCCCAAATGTATGGTCAACAGCCACTAAGCAAATGTTCTCCCTTACACTGTTACATGATCCTCTGATACTACTAGACACAGCCACTGGGTGTCTCTCTCTCTCTCTCTCTCTCTTTTTTTTTTTTTTTTTTTAGGAAAGAACACAGACTGGAAGGTTAGTTTCTCTGACCGAATGTCACATAGTTGGTGGTGGTAGAGCTACAAGGTGTCGTTCTTTGAAACTCAGTACTCTTTACAATGAACCACCTTTTTAGTACACCAAGTGAAGTATGATAAAGCTTTATGTATCACCACACTTGAAAGAGTTCTTTGGCAAACAAGCTTATCCAGAAGAAAGATGAAGTTGGTGAAGAGACTAGAAACCCTGTCCTCTGAAAAATGTTTTAGATCAGAGTGTTGCTCCTCCCAAGTGTGACCTTTGGACCACTTTAAAAGCTGTTTACAAATGCAGAACCTCAATCAGGATCTGCATTTTAACAAAACTGCAAGATAATTTAGATAAACAGGGCAGTTTGAAAAGCACAGGTTTAGCAGAACTTTGAATGAGGCCTTTGGGGAGGCCTTTGGGAATATCTGAGGGCAAAAAAAGACTAGACTCATTTCTTATAAAGGCCAAAGATAGAATCTTGGAAGAAGTCACAAAGATTGAGATTAAGGTTTAAAAATAATTTTATCATCAAGTATTCTAAAAAGAGAACTCAAGAAACAGCTTTCCATTGTAGGGAGTGTTTAAGTGCATCTGGGTGACTGACCGTTTGTCAAAATTTCACAGAGAAAACAGAAAAATTCAATGAGTATTTGAACCAGTCTCAAAAAGCAATTCTCCAGCACCAAGACCTGTGCAAGTCATTGGAAATCTTGAGTAAATTAGGTATTATCCTTCCTTTCAAGAGAACCATGGTTTATTTGGGTAACAGGTAAGTAAAAGTCAGTAATGTGTATATGATGAAATGCTAAAAAGAGTAAGTATTGGGGTGCAGAGAAAGGGCACTATTCTGAACCCAGAAGATGGCAGAAGTGATGAAAAAGAAGATAGGTTGGATATAGAGAAAGACAAGTGTGAATTGATTGTAACTTGGTGGATGATGTCATCATCCAGCCAAATTTTGGCTGAGGTGAGAAGCTGAAAGGAGTGGAGCTCCCTGTAATAGATTGGGATTCCACGTTGCATGGAGGAAGAGGGAAATAGAGGAGTTGGGGAGAGGGGAGGAATAGAGTGGGTGATAGGGAAGGGCTGGGATAAGCTGTATTTATTCTTTTTTTATGTCTTCATCCTTTCAACTAACATAGTGCCACGCACTGTTGTAGTTGCTCAGCATTCAGAAAAGAATTAGACATGGTCTTTGTTCTTAAGGAGTTCATAGTTCAATGAAGGAGACAGACATGAATTAAGGTAAGTGTGATAGAGGTACAAAGTGTGAAAACACACAATAACCCCAAAATTTATAGGGGAAAGGAAGGCAGAGAGGATCAGAGGAGGTTTTATACACAGAAACATCCTAAGTAAACCCTAAAGGATAGAACATCACAGAGAATGAAGACCTAAAGACTTAAAGTTGAATGAAGTTTCTGATGGATTAGATCTAGTTCTAAGTAGCTGCAAAGCTGAGTGCTTGCATGGGCACAGTGATGTCATTGTGGAAGCATAGGATGAGGTAAAAAAAAAATGTAAAAAACAGGATTGATTGTATGAAGACCAATCTGAGGAGGCAGTGAGGTTTAGGGAGGAGAATGGTGTACTCAGATTCACCTTTAGAAAGACTGGAATGAAGGGGTGAGTTCAAATGAATGTTGTGTCCGGCACTGCAGGAATGGGGCTGGAGAGGCAATGTTTCGTAAACACTACAAAAATGAACAGGCCAGACAAGGAAATGACTCATTTGATAGGTCAAAGTGACATGACATGACCATTTTGAATGAGTAATTTAGAGGATTCATATGGGCTCAGATGTCTGTAGGTTGCTGAGGAAGGAATCAGCAATAAAGACAGTGAGCAAAGTTTATCAAGGCTGAAAGAGGCTGCCAAAAGCACTGGGCAAAGTGAGTGGCTAGAACTGGTTAGTAAATTTGGTGATGTGGACTCACTTTGCCTAAGCTATTCCTCTTTTTGGGAGCACTGCAGGCACTGACAAGCAAGGCTTGGAGATTGATGGCTTAATGCCTCCCCATAAAATCCAGGGGCTTTCACTTGAGTTTCAAGGGTAGGCATAGGTGGTGGGGTGGGACGTGTGAATTCCCTAGGTTGTATAGTAAATGTATTATGTCTAGGTATGCACATTTTTCCCCCAGGAAGAGGGGCCATAGATAACAATGATTCAAAAATTTCCACTCCACATTTGACCTACCTCCTCCCCAACACTAAGGGTAACAAATGAGTGCTGCGTTCACAGTAGCTAAAAGTTGTGGCTGGAATGTCTGTTTGAACCCAGGGTCCCCACTGTGGAAGACCAGAGTGGAGTTTAACTTGGGGCCAGCTTGGTCTCTTCCCGTATCAGCCTGAGAAAGGAATGATTCTCTGTAGATGAAGCGTAAAAGCACAGGCCAGCCCAGTAATTTGTGCCTGTTTGATGAGGGAATGCTTATAGAGACCACAACAGGTATCAGGGGAAAATAAAGAGGAGGGGCCACTGAGTGTTGCAGAACATTTAGGCTCCAGTCTTCATTCAGTCTGTTTCCTGGGGCTGGGTTGTGACCAGCTAAGGAGGTAGCTTTTTTTCTGTTTTGTGAACTTAGGAGATCCATGTGCCAGAAAGAATTCTTCTGGCACTTGTAGAGCAAAAAAGGGCCCTGTCATTCTCTCCCCCATGACCTTTGAGGAGTCCAGGAGCAGGCCAGGTTTTGCTCTACCTAAGAATTGTTGTGTGGTGTGAAGTACAAAGCTATGGAGTTGTAGGGTGAGTGAAGCTGCAAAAAGTGGCAGAGCTTGGCTTTGCCCAGCCTTTCTTGCTGCTGGTGTCAAGGCTCACCTGCTGCAGACCCCTCCCTGGATGGGTGGGTTGTTTGTTTTTGTCTGTTTTTTTGCTTGGAAGCCAAGGCTAAAATAACTCCAAAATAGGAGTAAGTAACAATGTCCTCCTTAAGTACTTAAACATGGTATATCATTCTGTTTCCGGTCTGAAAACAGAACACCCCCTAGTAAGTAGAACAGGTTAAAATTAATATAATTAATGTGAAAGGTGACTATTAAAGAGCCTGACATGAAGCTCTAAGGAATACAGAGATAGTACATGGTGAAAGCAGCTACACCTGTAAGGCAAAGGGAGAGTACAAAGGAACTAAGAACTAAGAAGAGCCCACTTGAGGGTGAGATACAGACCTTATTATAAAGGGTATGGCTACCACAGGATACACAACAGACCGGTTGTTAGAAAGTTGCTAGTGAGTGTGGACCAGAGAACTGACAATGTGTGGCGGAGAAACTAGCTGGCGGGTTCCAGTTATGAGCAAGGACCACAGAGGTGAGTGCCACTGGGCTGCCCCTACCTGATCTGCTTAGTGTCCCTCTTCCTCTCAATTGACAAAGCCTAATGTTGCACCAAGGGATGAGGTCTACCCCCAGTGCCATAAAGCAGGGATAATGTCTTTGGAACTGAAGGCAATGTAGTGGTAACTGACACACTTGTAAACACTGTTTACCACAGATCAACAGCAAAATGTTGGAGTCTTTTTCTATTTAATTAGAAAACAGACAAGATTTCTATCTTAATGATTAATCAACACCATGTGGCAAGTTTTTGCAAATTTGGTAAGATAAAATGAAATAATTGGTATGCTTCTTGCATAAAAGCAGATAAAAAGATAAATTTTTTTTTATTTTCAGAAAATATGATTATGTACTTCAAAAACCAAGACACTCTACCACAAAACAGACAAAATAATCTGTTGGAATTGATAAGAGAATTTGATAAGGTGTATGAATATAAAGTAATCATAGAAATTAAGAGATCTTTTCCCCTGTCTTGGTAATAACCAATAAAAATTAGAAGAAATAACATTTATGACAGCAAAAAAGAATAAAATGCATAAGAATACATGAATCAAGAAAGTTAAGGGACCTATATGATGAGGAAATCCAACATCTTCTGAAAAGACTTAACATAAGACCCATCTTTTAGGATGGTAAGAATTAATACTTTAAAAATGCCAACATTCCATATATTAATTCTAATTTTAATGGAACTTAGGATTCTATTTCTATTCTTCTTCTTAGAAATAGACAAATGATTTGAGGCTCATATAAAAAAATCTGTTCAAAAAAAGACCAAGAGATTTTTGACAGAAAATAATGAGGGCAGTATTTATTCTATAAGTTATTAATATAATTTTAAGTTATAGAAATTAAAACACTACAATATTAGCATTGGATTGAGCAAGTATTTAGTTAAAAAAAAAACCAAAAGTATATTCAAGCATATGAAGAAACAAATGTATGATAAAATTTAGTAATTAAGTTAGGTTAATTTAATAATTGGCTATCAAAAGGGAAGGAAACAGAATTAGACCTCCTTCACACTTTATACAAAATAGATTTATAGAAGAATTTAAAATCCTAACAGTTAAATAAAAAAAAATTAGAGGGACTATCAGGAGTTTGTGTTGGGGAGACCATCTTAAAGCAAGAAACAACAAAATCTCAAAGGAAAAGACAGTCTTAATGACAAAGTTCTTAAATTTTATACAGTAAAAACATATAAAGTTGAAAGATGCCTTTTAGACTGGAAAAATATTTGTAAGAGACAGAGATGATATCCTTAATATGCAAAACACTCCTATGAATTAACTGGGGGAAAATAATGTGGAAATAGGATCAAGGGACCCCATGAGGCAATTTAGAGAAGAGGAGATGCACATAAACGTTTGCAAAGATGTTCAGCCTCATTATTTTTAAAAAATGCAGATTAAACTGACAATAAGATACCATTTTCCACCCAGATGACTGGCAAAACTATGGAGATCACATCTAGTTCTGTGGAGGTTGCAGGAAAATGAGAACTATTATCTGTGAATTACTCCAACATTTTGATCCAAAATATTTAGCAAAATTTGATAAAAAAAAAATTAAATACACATATGCTATGACCCCTGTAATTGGATTCCATTAATCCAATTTTGGGAAATGTATAAGCACCAGTATAAAAACTTGTTCAAGGATGTGTAATATGATATTTCATAGTTTCAACAGCTTATATAAACAGTGGGTATAAAAAGACACAATATTCTTAATTTCCAAAACTAACTTTAAATTCAAACCTTAAGACTCCAGCTTGCTTTCTGAGGGACAATTTGATTTAGGTGCTTCCAGATAAATTCAGTTCAATAAGCAATTTTTAAAAAAACATTAAGTATAATTTCCTAGTTTGTGGTTTCCAATGATGAGATTTTAGTTGAGCTTTGAGGAAAGAGAGGAGTAGGACCAACATAAGAGGTGAGTGCATGTGTGTGTGTGTGCATGTGTGTGAGAGTGTTGGTTGAGTAAACAAGAGAGGCACATCCCAATGGAATAACAATAATAATATTGAACTGAAAATGAAATTGAAACTAAGATTATCCCAACTGGCCAAGATAACTTTACCCTCCTCAGTTGGCTTTGAACATCTTATGTTTATTGCTGCAGTGATTATTACTTTTCTGAATGCATTACAGCAGACAAGCAAGAAGATTAGCCCCTGCCTACTGAGATGTGCATAATGTCCCCAAGGAATGTGATGCCTTCCAGGAATTTGATATTCTTATTTTTCCGAGTGGATGGTGTCCTATTTTCATCCTGCCTGAGCCTACGAAAGAGAACGTAAGTTTTTATTTAGAAGTCCCTAAATTTATATTGTGTTTTATTTATTTATTTATTTATTTTTTTAAATATATATTTTATAAGATTTTATTTATTTATTTCACAGAGAGAGAATGAGAGAGAGAGAGCACATGAGAGGGGGGAGGGTCAGAGGGAGAAGCAGACTCCCTGCCGAGCAGGGAGCCCGATGCGGGACTCGATCCAGGGACTCCAGGATCATGACCTGAGCCGAAGGCAGTCGCTTAACCAACTGAGCCACCCAGGCGCCCTTGTGTTTTAAATTTTACAAGTTAAACTTCATATTAATTCACTTTTAAAATTCTCCAGATTTTGCAAAATAGGAAATATAATCATCTTATTTTAAGTATAGCAATTAAGACTTATAGAGGTTTAATGGTTGTACTTCGTAGAACAGGACTTGCACTAAATATTTTCAAACCAACTTCAATGCTTTTTTCCTTAAACCAGTGTTTCCCAATTTCAGGTGTCATGTATCCCCTATATAATTTTTGCTATGCCCAACTATAACCTTAATATTATTTACTTAAGACAACCAACTTAAATCTAGGACAATGACTAGGTTTTTTTATTTTTAGTCTTGTCATAGCAATATATATGAAATATGTGGTAGGTGTGTTAGCCACTTTTCCCTAATATATGTTAAAAACAAATACATAGCTATAAATTCTGTTTAGGTGAGAAACATTACCTTAAATAAACCAAATGCCTCTCAGAAGTTTTAAAAGAGTTGACTTCATTAGTATTTATGAGATTTGATTAATGAGTTCTTTAGACACTCTTGACTCTGGAAAACAAACTGAAGGTTGTGGAAGGGGAGGTGGGGGGGTATGGCATAACTGGGTGATGGGCATTAAGGAGGGCATGTGATGTGATGAGCCCTGGGTGTTATACACAACTGATGAATCATTGAACAGTACATCTGAAACTAATGATGTACTATATTTTGGCTAATTGAATTTAAAAAAACTTGATTAATGAAAACAGCAGGGAATTACCAACCTACCAACAGACCAACTGTTCTCTACTTTCTGTGGGTGGGGATGGACAAGGCAGGAAGAATCAAAATTCTGAATTATGATTGGTGAGTGTGGTAGGTATTCTTCAAGAAGTGGCAGTCTTCACTATCAATTCCTTCCTTCCCTGTATGTACATGCCTCTCCACCATCAAAAACTGAAGCTATTAATCCTCCCCCTGAATCTAGACTGGATTTATGACTTGCCTTAACTAATAGAATGTGGTAGAAGTGCTATGGCAGCTCTTGGTCTAACTTTAACAGTTTGGCAGCTTGGGGAAGACAGCCACTATGCTGCAAAGTAGTTTGGATTAGTCTAATCAATTACTTGATGCCATGTGAGGGAAAGAAGGAGGCCACAGAAAGGAGCACCAAAGTACTAAACATGTGAGTGACACCATCTTCGACCTTCTAACCCAGCCCAGAGGCCAGACAACTTCTGTGGGTTAGGAGAATGAGCCTCCCCAAACTCTGACACATAAAATTATGGTAAATAATAAATTGCTTTAAGCCACTAGATTTTGGCATGTTTTGTTATGTAGCAATAGACAATTGAAATAATAATTATGGGACCATAGCATTGGAAATACCTGAGTTCTTCTGCTTTATAGCTGAGTATGGTAAAGACTGTTGGTTGTTTCCCATTGTTCTTAAGGTTTTTCTTTCTCTCACAGTAATAGAAACTGCAACTTTTAGCTAGGGAAATAACAGTTGGAAAATAAAGATTACATTTCCTAGCCTTCTTTGGTGTTGTGTGTGGCTATGTTACTAAGTTTCAATCAATGCAATAAGAAAATAAATGCATACAACTTCATTGTTGGTTCTTAAAGATAGGAGACAAGCTCTTACTGTCCCCAATTCCTTCATACTGCTTCTTGGAAGGTGGGTGATTTTATACCACACAGATAAGTACACTCTCTAGATTTGATGGAGCAACAAGATAGAAGTCATGATCCCTGCATGATTTCATGGAGCAGAACTACCATCCTTTATAGACCATCTGCTTATTACGTGAAAGAGAAATTTCCATTTTGTTTAAAATCTCTGTTTTCTGTTACATGTAGCTGAATTTTTATGTTAACTAATTAACTTGGTTTCTGCAGACCTGCAGATCTTGGAAACAGTGTTCCTCAGGAGAAGGAATATAAAGGCTATGAGCCCAAGAGCTGCCCTAGTAGCTTTCCATGAGGCCAAAAGCTGCCAAGAGACTAATGTGAAAGTAGGTATGATTGGCTACTTACACAAGTAAGTATAATCCTCAAAGGTAAAGAAGAGCTGTGTCCTCCAGCTGAGTATGTGTATGGTTTTAGGGTGTGCTAAATTCAGGAAATAGACTCTGGATCTTATCCCCTGCCTTGTATCCTGCATTATAATATCACTGAAACAGATAGTGCCTGGTTACATCTGTCCATTAACTATTTGTGGTCCACTAGACTATGAGCTCTATAAAATCATATTATATTTGCCTAGGGCAGGAGCTCTGCATAAGTTGCCTATCCAAAGTCTGATCTCCCTCCTTCCTTAATAAAAACTTGGATTTGAAAAACTCTATAGTTGAAAAAGTCTCAGACTCCTTTGCAATATGGAATCTATCTGATACAGTTTCTGCCAATGAGATAAGTAAAAGTGATAAATGCAAAGTTTCTGGGAAAGTTTTGTTTTTGTAATAAGTGCTACTGCTACCCCCTATTCCTTGTGATTTTCCTCTTATTCTTCCTGCCTGGAAAATGGATGGAAGTGGAGCAATCATTTTGTGCCATAAAAATAAAAGCAAGAAGGAGCTTGGGACATTTATATTATCATGGAAGCTGGATTAACTCCAAATTGTTGTTTTATGAGAAATACCCATTATTTGGTTAAATGTGGTAGTAAAGTTTCTTTCATAGTCAGTCAAATGAAATACCTTGCCTCCTCATCATTTTATTAAACCAAACCATTTGCAGAACTAAAGAATATCAATCATGTAGAAAGGACACACTTAACATACATGGTGGCTGAGTACTGCTAATTTCATGTGTGTCCTTCAAGGAACCAGAAACTCTTGTTTGTGAGATATGACTTAACATATATATGTATGGTGTATAAATGTATACATTTAAACCTTTACTGAGTCATGTTTCTTTCCATTTATATGTTCAGTGGCTGAAATCACCAATCCAATTACATATTATAGAGTTGTAAACTTTAACCTTAAAAATGAATGTTTTGTTCATAATAAATTTTGTTTATAATTCCATGAGAATACAATGAATCTGCTTAAGAAGTTATTCATTGCAACAAATAGCTCACAGCAACACAGTTCAACTAGAAACAGTGCATTTTATACAGTAAATGCTTTCTTTGTACCCTTCTCCTCTCACTTTTTAGAGCATTGCTCTACTTCAGATGGGCAAGATAGGTTTGTAGACAGAAAGGCCAAGGAGAAAGTAGAAGGAAGAGAACATTTAGGGGTAGTGGAGTGACAGAGATGAGGGGCTCTGTAGAAGGCCTCTGAACATGGGATGTCACCATTTATGGCCAGAGACCCTTATAGAATGTTGAGCACTCGTGAAGGGTCCAAATGAACAGGAGACTTTTTCGAGTGACAACATGAATGAATGTTATGGATGGGTCTGAAACCCTACATTCTAGGCTCCAGTCCAATGTTGCTCTCTGCAATTGTGCAGAACCTCAATTCCCTCATTATCAAGGAAGACATATATATCTCATTAGCTTTACATAACATTTTGACTTGCTAATTATAAGTGTAAATTGTATTTCAGTATGTGTGCTTATACTTGTGGACATTTTGTTCTTATAGATTCACTGGCCCACAGGAATTGTAGTTTAATGGAAATAGGGCTGGGCTTGGAGCCAGAAAACCTGGCTGGAATAGACCTAGTTGTTAAGCCATAGACCTGGTTGTATAATTTTGTGCAACTCTTGGGCGCCTGGGTGGCTCAGTTGGTTAAGCGACTGCCTTCGGCTCAGGTCATGATCCTGGAGTCCCAGGATCGAGTCCCACGTCGGGCTCCCTGCTCAGCGGGGATGTCTGCTTCTCCCTTTGACCCTCTTCCCTCTCATGCTCTCTCTCTTTCTCTCTCGCAAATAAATAAAATCTTAAGAAAAAAAATAATAATTTTGTGCAACTCTTATCTGTAAGCCTCAGAAAAATAGAGATAATAGTCATCTTACAGTGTGTTATGAAGCTTTTATAAAATAGCGTAGTTGTCCCACAGGACTCCCCAGTAAAACTGAAGAGATGAAAGATAGAAGCATCGGAAAGGGGTGTGGCCAAGCCGTATGGGTTAGCAGGGGTCTCAAGCTTGAATACCTACAAGTTCATGCAGGTAATACAAAGGTGTGAAGTAGTAACTCTGTGGTGATTTACAGAGTACTGGCCCTGGAGGGCATAAACTTCTGAAGCTCAAACTGATTGTTGTTATGTAAAAAATGTAGGCTTAGATTTTCTGATTTTTAAAGAGATGCCAGGAATGTGGGTGCAAAACTTTGTTTTCAAAATAATGGCAAATACTTCAGAATGTTAAAAGATTGTTGGACCAAACAACATAACCATGGATGTAGTTAGTGGGTACTGGTTTGTGATCTTTGAGTTTCAGTGGATTTTAGGGCAGGGCTTCAATTTTTCTTTTCTTCTAGTTTAAGAAAACCTGTTGGCTGAGGAGACTCTTACAAATATCTGAGGTTCTTGTCTCCAGCACAACTTCTTAATTTACCTTACAAGTAAACAGGCTCCATTAAAAACAAACAAACAAACAAACAAAAACACAGGAGAGCCCAGCCAAATAAAAGGTGTTGAAAGGAAGTTGCCTTATTTCATCTGGAACAATGAGTAGGCAGAGGATATATCGGCTCTGTGTGTAAAGTAAGGATGATTGAATGTGACCAGGAAGTGGCCAAGAACATGAATATCTAAAAGAAGTAATCTAAAATAGGCTCACTGGGACATCAGAAAAAAACTCTTTTTTTTTTACCCACTGTCCAGCATCTTTTAGTTTGAAATCCTCAGGTATAGGACCAGTTGTCGTCAGTATAGTCAGGTCTTTGTGAATATGAAACACTTCATTGAAATCTTATTGTCTGAACATTTTCGTCCTGATCTCTATTTTTTGTTTTAGTTTTTGGAGCATCATCTGGGGAGAGGAGAGTTCTCTGCTGCTGCTTCATCCTAGCGAGAGAAGCCACACACTTACGCTGAGGTAGGATTTGACAAACACTTCTGAAACATAGGTTAAATCTATTAGAATCAACTGTTGGAAAATTCAAATTCCTCATAGCGTGGAGTTATTTATTACAGAGTAGATTGGAGGGATTATGTGGTGGGGAGTAGCAATTGCAAAAAAAAGGAGAGATCAGGTCTGTTGGGTTCTGACTCTGCTCTAAACCTTATGCTATTTGATCTCTTTTGGGAATTGCATTCAGATATGTAGATTTCTGGACTCCTTCCAATTCAACAGAGGAAACTGTGAGTAAGCTGCTTGTTTCTTTCCTCATAAATGATAGGTGAAGGGCTTAATAAAAAATAAAAATTAAAGAGAGAAACTTTCTGTTGTCTGGATAAGTACTTCATATTATATATCTCTATAAATTATATATCACATTTTTATCCATATATTTTATGCATCTACATATCTATCATATCTGTATATTATCTATATTATCTACCTATTACTATATGTTATCTATATATTACTATGTATTATCTATCTATATATCTATTATTTATATTATACATTTATATTATATAATATATTATATACATACATATTTACATATGTATATTTTAGATTATACATTTATATATTATAATATATTATACATAACATTACATATTATGTATACATTATACATTTATATATCATATATTATGTAATATCTATCTAATATCTAATATCTAGATATTACATATCTATCTGTATCTTTACATTTTCATAGAATTCTCCCACTTGGGTTTTTTTCCTCTTCCAAAAGCCACCTTGTATTGATGGTTTTACTCTATATTAGAATTCAGATAGCATAGTGGTTGAACTCTGAAGTTGCACTTCCGGATTTAAATCTGATTTTCTAAACCTCAATATCCTGACATGTAAAATGGGTATACTAATTAGATACCTCATATATTATTAGTATTACATTAAATAGTACTTAATATAATAGTAGCTATTATTATTATTAGTTCTTTATATCAACTGTGGAAAATAGGTATTACCTAAATTTTAAAGATGTGGAAAAAAGGAACTGCAATAACAAGAAAGTACAACAATCTTAAAAGACTTTTAATTTTTCTTCAGAAGCAGTACCTCTCATGGGAAGTTATAGATTCTTTTTTTTTTTTTTTTTTAAAGATTTTATTTATTTATTTGACAGAGACAGAGATAGCGAGAGCAGGAACACAAGCAGCAGGAGTGGGAGAGGGAGAGCAGGCTTCCCGCCGAGGAGGGAACCCGATGTGGGACTCGATCCCAGGACCCTGGGATCATGACCTGAGCCGAAGGCAGACGCTTAACGACTGAGCCACCCAGGCGCCCGGGAAGTTATAGATTCTTGTTGAATCTTCTATCCCTAGTTAAGGAATAGAGTTTCCACCAAGACTGATAATTTTCCTGTTGATCATTTGCCAGAACTAGGCTAATGGAGCACTGGGCTTCTTGACAGTATCATTTGATTTGCCTAAAAAATGCATTACAGAATATAAATAAAATAGGTGTGCAGTCTCAGGTGCAAAGTCAAATTAAAAATGAGAATCTTCCATGTTGCTAGAACTGCTGGGTAAGACAGCAAGGATGAAAAAACATAGTTTCAAATACCAGGCTTTCAAAATTTTTATTCAGTGGGGGAGGAAAACAACACTACTACATATACCTGTTTCAAGCTTTTTGCATTTTTTAACAAAATTCTAAAAAACACTTTCACAGGGGTTAATTCTCTGTAGAAGACAGCCTGACTGGCAGCCAGTGTCTCCCCAACACTTCAGAATAGAGAAAACTTATTATTTTCCAAACTGATCCACTTTAAAAAGAAGAGGCTATAGCCTCTGAGCAAACATGGAACTAAAAGAGGAGGGGGAACTGGACCAGGAGAGAGGTCAAGACCACATTTCCTTCTTCAGCTCATCTAGTTGCCCTTTGATGAGGTGTAATATCTCTTTGAGTTTCATTTTCTGTGCTTCTTTTGAATATGGTCAAAATAAAATGTTTGCTTTCCATCCAAGATGCTTTTCCAGATGAGATAATGCACGTGAGATAGTGATTGTAGAAGCTTTGCAAATGGTAGAATCAATAAAAATATAAGGAATTTTTAATATTTCAGCTGCAGCTTGGAAAAAATGAAAAAAAAAAAAAAGACACGCTAGATTAAATTGTTCTAATGGCATAAGATTCCATACATATTATTTAGGGGCATAGGTTGAATTACTATTTCTATTTCATTAAAAAATCTAATACTTATTTTATTTTTATTTCTGATGCTTTCAACCTCAAAGGTATTTGGACCTTGTTATGAGACAGTAATCCTATAGGAAATATAATGTTAATAGATAAGTAGAAGAAATAGTATGAAATAGGAAGGAATATCTTCAAATATTTGCACTTTAAATTTCCTTAAATTTTAAAAATTCTTACTAAGCTAAGAATCTCATTTACTAAAAACTCTCCATAGAGCTTATAGATAGTTCATGTGCTATTTTAATAAAGAGTTGATGTTGTTTAGGAGCAGCAGAACTAAGGAATGTTTGGACCTATAATTTTCAGCAAAGCCTCTCCAGTGTTCCCTAGTCTTTAGTGGGAACTTTCTGTGGCTGCCATATTTTAACAGGTCTTCCTAAAAAGGTGAAATTATTTCTAACTAAGAAGATTAGGAAAATGATCATGAGAAAGGACATTTTGAGTCAGTCCTTAAAAGATGAAAAAAATCTGAAAAACGAATAGCAAATCAAAGGAGGACACACTAATGCGAACCATATAGATAACATAAGTATTCTGACACTCATAGGAGATTTCTATCATCGATTATGTTGTTCTTATCCCTCTTTTTCTGTCTTAAATTTAAGAATTAGACCTAATTCAGTATGTCTCATTTGTACAGTTTGCCTGGTCACATAGGCAATTGACAAGTACTAAAACTTTCTTTTATGTAACAGAATGCAAGGATTACCTGGACTCAGGTACTTTTAAAAAAGCATATTTCTAATTGAGACACCCCTTTTTTATCTTTAAGAAAAAAAAAAAAAAAAAAGTTCACCAAAAGCTCCAGGCATGGGTAAAGCAGGTGGTAGAACAATGGTGCTCTCAGCTGAATGCTAATTCATGCTGGACTATATTAGTCCTCCCAAAACCCAACTAATTGCACCCACAGTCCTCTCAAAGGTAAAAGTCAAGGTTTGATTTTGAGTCCTTTGAAACTTCCTGAAGTTTTAAGTTTTTTACTCAAAGTGCAAAGCAGAATGGTCCCAGCCCTTTTCTGCCCTAAAGCCTGTTATTTGTAAGATGTTTGGACATTTCCAACAATAAACATGAATTGTGGACTCTCAAATACATTTACTGCCTCATTTATCTTGCCAAAACTCAAACAGATCCCAAAAGAATAAATACAGATTTATGTAGAAGTGTTATCAGGGCCCACTGACGGATCCAGATGCATTGATATATGCAATACTTTGAGTCTCATTGGAAAATATTTGTATCTTCTTTTGTAGCTGTAATTGGAGAGGCATTAGACTTCAGGTGTTCTCAAACTATTTCTAGTCATAGACACCATCATATACAGAATAAATGACCCTTCAAAAATACATTTTTATTAACCTAAATTCTAAGATCTTACTTTCCAAAAACCTCTCCCCAAAAGGCCTGTACCTGATAACAGAAATCACACCATTTCCTATGGGTGAGGCATGCTTCCCTCTAACAAACAGATGTCACAGGAAGGTGTATTCTATTTATTTACTTCTTAGAGTATTGACTGATCAGCAACTTCCTAATGAGGCAATGCCCTGAGAATGGATTCATGGGGAGTGAGCATGGACAGGTACAGGTATGCCGCAAACAGCTGGAGTACGGGAGGCCAGTGCAGCCTGGCCCTGAGTTCAGGAGTACCTGGTAGACACGTGGAAGGTGGCTTAAGAAAGAATGAAAGGAAAGAGCAGTTTTCAGTGTGTAAAAGGTAAATCTCCACTTTCAAAACTCTCTGGGATCACTTCTGAGTCTTTGGATGACATTTATAAATATGTTCTTTAATTCTTGAACAATAGTGTGGAATTAGCTAGCAAAAGGTTTTGTTTACAGTAACAATCTAAAAAGCCCAGCTAACCCAGAGCCACCTCATTTGCCAAAGTTCACTTTGTACTTTTGATATAAGTATGCAGAGATTCATGGGAATGCTTATTGACCTTCAGAGCTAGAACATAGAGGAGTTGTAAAAGTACTGTACGTAGGAAGCTGAAACCATTGTTATCCTAATTGAGAAGCTAATTTGTTACATTTCCTTTCAATTGCTCTTCCTGGCAGTGAATCCAATATGACCTTACAAGGGACCACAATCTGCTGTGGGACTACCCCCCTGCCCCGCCCTGGGGGCTCTCAAGCACTCTGGTGTTCTGGTTCTCTCTCTCTCTGTAGGCTACCCTCATGAAGTGAGTTGCTGCTATGTTGATGTACATTGCTGCTATGTTTGAGTTCCTTGGATGTTGACATTTTTATTTGGAAAAGAAACAAGTCATAATAGCAGCAACAGAGTTTGGAGAAAGAACTAGCTATTAAATAATTCCTAAATGAAATGCCCTTTCAAATGACTGCAGGGACAAGATTTATTTACTAAGGCATTTTTAATATGATATTACATGATTAATATTTTTTCAAGTTCTAGATTTTCCTTTCTCATTCAATAATCTTTCCTATTTTTCTTATTTAACATCTTTTAATGACATGGTCAAATGATGGTAGTTTTCCTACTTAAGGGAAATGTCTTAAGCCCCTTCCTTCTAGCTAAATTAACTTCACGGTAGTTTTTAAAATATGAAGTTCTCAAATAGATATGTAAGTACTTTTTCTGTTTTTATTGACTTTTTCATTGCTTTTGTTCTCCAAAGACTTTGAAGAAAGTTTGCAACTATGAGGAGTTTCATGCAGTAACTTTGACTTGATATTTTTTTAGTCAACCTGTCCAACTACAACAGACTGCTCCAGACTAAGTTCCTTTGGTCTACACTAGTCTGTCTCTATTCTGAATTCTTAACACTGGGATTAAAGCCTATGATTTAAGACTGTAGATAAGATGTAAAATTCCAAAACTGATAAACCATTGATTAAATTTCGTTCTGACTTTTGTTTCTATTTTTCTCCCCTTTACCCCAAAGAATAAGAAAGTAAAAGATTCCACACCTTTACCAGTGAATAGGTTAAAGATCATTATCAATGGAGCAGAAATGCTTACTGCTACCATTTTTTTAATTAAGTTTTTTTTGTTTTGTTTTAATCCCAGTACAGTTAACATACAGTGTTACAAGTGTGCAATATAGTGATTCAACACTTCCATACAACATGCAGTGCTCATCACAACAAGTGCCCTCCTTAATCCCCATCGTCTATCTCACCTATCACTCCCCTCCCTTCTGGTAACCATCAGTTTATTCTGGATAGTTAAGAGTCTGTTTCTTGGTTTGTCTCTCTCTCTTTTTCCCCCATCTGCTCATTTGTTTTGTTTCTTAAATTCCACATATAAGTGAAATCATATGATATTTGTCTTTCTCTGACTTATTTTGCTTAACATTATACTCTCTAGCTCTATCCCTCTTGTTGCAAATGGCAAGATTTCATTCTTTTTTTATGGCTGAATAATATTCTATTATATATGTCTTCTTTATCCATCCATCTATTGATGGACACTTGAGCTCCTTCCATAATTTGGCTATTGATAGGGGTGCATGTATCCCTTTGAATTATTGTTTTTGTATTTGGCAGGGGAGGAGGGGAGTTATTTGCAAATGACATATCTGATAAAGGGTTAGTGTCCAAAATATATAAAGAACTTATACAACTCAACACCAAAAAACCAAATAATACAATTAAAAAATGGGCAGAAGAACAGACATTTCTCCAAATAAGACATCCAGATGGCCAACTGACACATTAAAAGTTGCTCCATCTCACTTATCATCAGGCAAATGCAAACCAAAACTACAATGAGATATCATCTCACACCTGTCAGAAGGGCTAAAATAAAAAAACACAAGAAACATCAAGGGTTGGCAAGGATGTGGAGAGAAAGGAACCCTCATGCACTGTTGGCGGGAATGTAAACTGGTGCTGCCACTGTGGAAAACAGTATGAGTTTCCTTAAAAAGTTAAAAATAGAACTATCATTTATTTTGATTGAGGAAAGAGAATGATCAGAAGTTAATTGTGCCCCCAAACAATTGTATTTATTTTCAGAAATATGAGAAATTCATTTTATTTTTTCATAAATCCATATTTTAAGGCATAAAATGGATAACAAATTATAATTACATTATAGTTGTAGCATAATAACATCATAGTGCTAACTTCAGTGGAAGGTTAAATTCACTACTTCAATTCCATGTGAACAAATTAAAAGGAACCCACAATTTACCAGCCTCTTTGTCAGCTAAAAACACACATCTGTTGGGGGCTCTACCAAATCAGTAACATTCTGTGGTTGACCTACAAATCAGTGCCTGGCTCGAACTCTTACATTTATATCCTCTACGACCTTGGATGAGTCACATACTCTCTTAAATCTCAGATTATCTATTTGCAAAATGAGATGATGGAATTAATTTCTTTGTTAATATGGTTTTCATTGCTGACCCCTCTGAGAAGTTAATGAAAGTGATAGAAAACACATGTACCTGCAGACACTAAAGTATACACGACTGTTGGGATTTAAGCTCCCTCAAATCTTGTCCTTGGACCATTGTTAAAGAAGCCATGGACCAAATGATCCTTAGAGACCTATGTCACTCTAATGTCCTATGACCCTCTGGCTCTATTTTTTTTTTTTAAGATTTTATTTATTTTTTAGAGAGTGAGCGAGAGAGAAACAGCATGAGAGGGGAGAGGGTCAGAGGGAGAAGCAGGCTCCCCACTGAGCTGGGAGCCCGACATGGGACTCGATCCCAGGACCCTGGGATCATGACCTGAGCCGAAGGCAGACGCTTAACCATCTGAGCCACCCAGGCGCCCCTTCTGGCTCTATTTTTATTTTAAATTGTCTTAAACAGTAAAATGAGAGAGAGAAAAAAAAGGAATAAGTGTATAACATAAGCAACACATATCTGGGTATTAACTATGAATTTCAATACTAGATTGTGGTGATAATAAGCAATTTGATATGCAGAAATAAATAAAATATATCAGCACTGACACTGCATTTTAATAGTAATGTTTTAAATGATAAATGGCTATTTATTACAAGATGAATTGATTTATACATCTTCTAAAGGTACATATTCTCATTTCATTAAAAAATTCCATAATGAAAAATATACTGATTCAAAGAACAGATTAAAACATAATGACTTCCAAATTAATACAGAAGACACTATTAATTTAACATACATATTTTGAAGATGATTTTTAAATGGGTAATTTTTACATTTAGCATGTGTACTGTTAAAATATTCAGTTGAAATTATTTTACAATTAAGTTTGACTTAATAAAATAAGCTTCCTTATTTTTGTTTGAACAGTTTATCCTTGAAGTATGATTTGAAGCGATTTATTTATTCTTTTGAGCAGTTAAAACAATGGAATTGTCTGAATATAGCTAAGAAGAATTAAAATGCAAATTGACATTTTGAATTGTAATGTCAAATTCAGTCTTAAGTATAATGGAAAAGATGATTTGTTTTTCAGAACCAAGGTTTTAGTAAAAGGACTGGGTAGAGAGGAGATGGAAAGAAAGACAAAAGAAAAATTGGTTTTGCTTATCAAATAAAAACTGCTTTTTAAAAGATAGTTAAGATTTACTGAAAATAAAGTTCAGAAAAAAATGACAAGGTTTTATGCAGGAAATTTTGAAAGTATCACAAATTAAAGTATCACTATTTTAAGATTCATTAGTATTTCATTAGTATTTAATACTATACAATTTTATAATTAAATGAGTAAAATTGGGGTTGTTGTTTTGTGAAATTTTTGTAGTACCATAAATTAGATTACTAATAGATATGTAGGAAATAAAAAGAGACTAAATGTTTCTTGCATTTTTCAGAAATTAAGTGGAAATACATAAGTTAAACAAAGAGGTTAAACAAAGACAATAACTACTAAGAATTTATAGAATAAATTAAAATCTGTTAAAACTTGGATTAAACCACTGTTGTTCAGATTTCCAAAATGTTTGATACATCTATATCATGTTCCTTCATCTTTCAGGTAGGAAACATGAAGTTCAGAGAGGTTAGGTAACTCACTCCACCTCAGTAAGAAGTATCAGAGTACAGGTTAGAACTGAAATTTTTTCCTTCAATCTTCCAGTCTCTTTCCTCTATATTTAGCCTGCATTGATGATTTTTGTTGTCTTTTGTAAAAGGTACTTAGTTACATTTTCTCTAGATTGTTCATGTACATGAGTTTGCTGTTATGTATCCATGCATGCACACAAAGTTAAGAGTAGACATTTCTTAATCCCAGAATCATTTTCAATGTAAACCCTACTTACTTAGAGATAACTCAGCATAGCAATAAGTTAAAGAAAGCTCCACATGATACACGTAATTTTACTCTATGCAAAAAGGTTTTTAAAAATGTGAAAATGTTGTGAATAGCCTCTGAATGTAAGTTCAGTATTTTCTTAGTTCGTGGAAGAAATACATTTTGAAGTTTCATAGCAAAAGGGAAATAAATCGCCAGACAGGAATCCAGTGAATTCAGCCCAGTTTAGATAGCCAGATCAGATGATTTTTAAACAACAACCTCTTCCTTCTTCCTGGATTACCTCTACTTAGGCCAGTTGCCTCACTGCAAATATAACTTTGTTGTTCAGAAAACACTCTATTAACTAAGCTACTTGTAGAGATTTTTGTAAGTATACATGAATTTTATGAAATGTATTTATTCTCATAAAATTTGTTTTAAAAATGAAGACCTCTTGAATAATAGTCATGAACAGGATTCTCTATTTAAAAGGAGAAAACTAAAAATTTTTGGGAATGTGCAAACAATAATTTGTTGACCTTTTTCCAAAAAGCAACTCCTCAATGACCATCTCCCATTGCAGGGCATGGATCTATATGGACAGCAATCTCACAAGCTACACAATAGAGTGAGCAGGCTTAAGTCCACAGAGGACTAGAGGATCCCATTCTCCAGATAGGATTCCACATAAACTGCCTTAGTGTCTTTTGGTTATTAACAATCATATATTTGCTTGGTGACCAAGATTAATTTATTAATGTTATCTACCTACATTAGAATATATGTTGTCACTATTAATGATTTTTAGCATGTACTTACCATTACGTAGAAGAATTATAATTGTACAGTGTTTTATAGTGTGCAAAGTAATTTTATAGGCACTATCACATATAAACATGAAATCTTTGGTTAAAATATTCTCTGCTGGATAGGTGAAAGCATTGAAGTTCAGAGAGTTGAAAACAGATTACTAAGATCACAAAGCATTACATTAGAGAAGTGACACACCTATTCTTTAAAACTGTGTGGAATAATGCTGTTTGTTTTATTACATGTATTTGGGTGCTATTAACAACCATCTGAAATGGATGCTTAAGCTATCTCTGTTTAAGTAATTCACAGGTGTGCATGTGTTGGTTCACTACCTGTGTATTCTTACCTGTATACCTTAACTTTTTATCAACCATGTTATTATTATTTTTTATTTTTTAGAAATTCTTAGTGATGGGACACCTGTGTGGCTCAGTCAGTTAAGTGTCTGCCTTCAGCTCAGGTCATGATCTCAGAATCCTGGGATTGAGCCCAGAGCCCAGCATTGTGTCAGGGTCCCTGCTCAGCAGGAAGTCTGCTTCTCCCTCTCCCTGCCTCTTCCCCCCCCGCTTGTGCTCACTCTCTCAAATAAATAAATAAAATCTTTTAAAAAAAAGAGATATTCTTAGTGATAATTATCCTTTAGTAAATCAAATACTACAAACACTTCAACCAAAATCAGAAATTTGACCAAGCTGAATGTAAACATTCTTTGGCTAAATTGATATGAATATTGCATAGTAGTTTCTCCCCTCAGTTTGAATTTCGTTGCATAATTTATAGATTTTAACCTTAGATATTCTATATTTTCTCAAGTTTTGTGGGAATTGATATGATGATATGTTTCTTAATATCCATAATTTCAATAACTGAAATGTCATTTAGGAACTTGAATAACTTTATAATAATACGTGGTTGTAAATCATAAAATTTTTACAAAAAATCTAACCATTTGTTGACATTGATCTAAGTTCTTAAAATATTTTTCTTTGAAAAATTCCTCATGGTTCTCTAATGCTTCAGTAAGAACACTGCATCTTTGAATCATTGTCATCATTAGGAAATGTGTAAGATTTGTGAAGATCTAAATAAATCTGACAAGTAAAAACATTTCCTCTGTTCTGTATCATCCAGGCTGGTCTGATTTAATCTTATTTAAAGGAAACATTTCTATTGTGCAGTTCTGCTAAAACTCTTTTAATAAATTAAGAATTAATTTCAAAATTTAAATATAAATTCTATGAATAATTCAATTTACACTGAACTTTTTCTTTTTGTCCAACACATGACCCAATTTTAGTGTTTTTTAATGGAAATACTTAGTGTCTATACCTGTCTTACCTTTAAATCAGGTTTAGATGATTATTTTTTTATGTGATTAGTTTTATGTATTTATTTTATTATGTTCAGTTAGTCACTGTATCATTAGTTTTTGATGTAGTGTTCAGTGATTCATTGGTTGTGTATAACACCCAGTGTTCATCACACACGTGCCCTCCTTAATACCCATCACCCTATTACCCCATCCTCCACCCCCCTCCCCTCTGAAACCGTCAGTTTGTTTCCCAGGGTCCATAGTCTTAGGCTCCAAACCCAGTGTAGAACCCAAGATGGTTATTTTTCTTAACTTTTGGCATATAAGAATTAAAACATGAAGATAAAGTATGGAAACTTTTAAAAGCATTAAGATACCATTTTTATCAGGACTATTTAGTAAATATAGCAATGGAAATATTGAGAATATGAATTTATCCTCAAAATCCCAACCATTAAAAAACATTCCTTGCCGACTGGGCGGAGCAAGATGGCAGAGGAGTAGGAGACCTGGATTTCGTCTGGTCTCAGGAATTCTGCTGGATAGGGATCAAACCATTCTGAACACCTACAAACTCAACAGGAGATCAAAGAAAAGAATAGCAACAACTCTCTGAACAGAAAAGCGACCACTTTCTGGAAGGTAGGATGTTCAGAGAAGTGAATACAAGGCGATATTCGGGAGGATAGATGGCAGGGGAAGGGGGCCTCTGTGGGCCACTTCTGGCAAGTGATAGGGCAGTGGAGCACAAAATCGGAAATTTTAGAAGTCTGCTCTGCTGAGGGATGTTGCTCCAGGGGCTAAATGGGGGTGGAACCCTCACGGGACAGTGTGGTCTCAGGATCCTTGGCATCACAAAAAGACTGGGGGTGCCTGAGTGTGGCAGAGCTCCCAGGTATCAGAGCGGGGAAGCCAGCTGCAGAGACGGAGCTGAGGAGCGGGTTGCCATAAACCGTGATCCGTGGCACAGTCGGGCCACTGCTCCTCCAGCAGGGACCCAACAAGCAGCAGATCCGGGGAGACTCCCCTTCCTCCCAGGGGAGGAGCAGCGTGGGAGCGCACTGCAGGGATCTGCTAGGTTTGGAGAATCCGCACAAGGTCGGATGCCAGAGATAGAAACGCTCGGCTGGGTGAATGTGGAGTGTGGCCAGAGACCGGGGAGACAGGAGTGACTGCTTTTCTCTGGGGGTGCATTGAGGAGTGGGGCCCCGAGTTCTCAGCTCCTCCGGGGTGGAGATTGGGAGGCCGCCATTTTCACTCTCCTCCAAAGCTGTACGGAAAGCTTGCAGGGAACAAAAGCTCCTGAGAGCAAACCTGAGATTACTTAGCCCGGAATGGCAAGGGTGGGGCAATTCCGCCTCTGGCAAAGACATTTGAGAACCACCGCAACAGGTTTCTCCCCCAGAAGATCAGCAAAAACAGCAAGCCAAGACCAAGTTTACCATCAATGAGAATGGCAGAACTCCAGCACTAGGGGAATACTACACATAGAATCCATGGCTTTTTTGTACAATAAATTTTTTAGTCTTTCAAAGTTAATTTTTTGAATTTTTCTTTTTCCCTTTTTCAACCAACATCTTATCAATCCCTTTTTTAAAAAACATTTTTATTTTTCATTTTTAGAGTCATATTCTATCCCTTCATAGTAGTTACCCTTATTTTTGGTATATATAAGTTCTCTCTTTAAAATTTTGAGATACAGTTTCTTCTAACAGATCAAAATATACCCTAAATCTCTAGTGATTGGCTTTGTTCTTGTCTCCTGACTGATCACAGTCTCTCCTTTTTTTTTAAATCCTTTCTTTTTTCAAACAACTTCTTATCAATTCCTTTTATAAAAGTTTTTATAATTTTCATCTTTACAATCATATTCCATCCCTTCATCATATCAACACTTATTTTTGTAATATATGTAAGTTTTTCTTTCTTTAAAATTTTGGGAGGCACTTTCTTCTAACAGACCAAAATACACTGAAAATCTAGTGTGTGGCACTGATCTATGCACCAGCTTGATCATATTTGATCATATTCTGGTTTTTTTTTTTTGTTCTGTTTTTGTTTGCTTTTATCTTTTTCTTTTTTTTTTTTCTTTCTTTCCCTTACTTTTCCCCTGGCTTCAGGTCTTCTCTGATTTGTTTAGAGTATATTTTCTGGGGAGGTTGTTACCCTGTTAGCATTTGGTTCTCTCATTCATCTATTCTCCTCTGGACAAAATGACAAGACAGAAAAAATCACCTCAACAAAAAGAACAAGAGGCAGTACTGACTGCCAGGGACCTACTCAATACGGACATTAGTACAATGTTGGATCTAGAGTTCAGAATCATCACTTTAAAGATACTAGCTGGGCTTGAAAAAAGCATGGAAGTTATTAGAGAAATCCTTTCTGGAGAAATAAAAGAACTAAAATCTAACCAAGCCAAAATCAAAAAGGCTGTTATGAGGTGCAATCAAAAATAGGGGTGCTAACTACTAGGATAAATGAGGCAGAAGAGAGAATCAGTAATACAGAAGACCAAATGATGGAAAATAAAGAAGCTGAGAAAAAGAGAGATAAACAACTACTGGATCACGAGGGCAGAATTCGAGAGATAAGTGATACCATAAGGTGAAACAACATTAGAATAATTGGGATCCGAGAAGAAGAAGAAAGAGAGAGAGGGGCAGAAGGTATAATGGAGCAAATTATAGCAGAGAACTTCCCTTATTTGGGAAAGGAAACAGGCATCAGAATCCAGGAGGCACAGACAACCCCCCTCAAAATCAAAAATAGGTCAACACCCCAATATCTAATAGTAAAACTTACGAGTCTCAGAGACATAGAGAAAATCCTGAAAGCAGCTCGGGAGAAGAGATCTGTAACCTATAATGGTAGAAACATTAGATTGGCAACAGACCTATCCACAAAGACCTGGCAGGCCAGAAGGACTGGCATGATATATTCAGAGCATTAAACGAGAACAATATGCAGCCAAGAATACTATATCCAGCTAGACTGTCATTGAAAATGGAGAGATAAAAATCTTCCAGGACAAACAAAAAGTAAGGGAATTTGCAAACACGAAACCAGCCCTACAAGAAATATTGAAAGGAGTCCTCTAAGCAAAGAGAGACCCTAAAAGCAACATAGACCAGAAAGGAACACAGACAATATACAGTAACAGTCACCTTACAGGCAATACAAGGCACTAAATTCATATCTTTCAGTAGTTACCCTGAATGTAAATGGGCTCAATGCCCCAATCAAAAGACACAGGCTATCAGATTGGATTAAAAAACAAGACCCATCGATATACTGTCAGCAAAAGACTCATTTTAGACCCAAAGACACCCCCAGATGGAAAGTGAGGGGGTGGAAAACCATTTACCATGCTAATGGACACCAAAAGAAAGCTGGGGTGGCAATCCTTATATCAGACAAATTAGATTTTAAACAAAAGACTGAAATAAGAGATGAAGGACACTATATCCAACTTAAAGGGTCTATACAACAAGAAGATCTAACAGTTGTAAATATCTATGCCTGTAACATGGGAACAGCCAATTATAGAAGGCAATTAATAACAAAAGCAAAGAAACACATCGACAACAATACAATAATAGTGGGGGACTTTAACACCCCCCCTCACTGAAATGGACAGATCATCTAAGCAAAAGATCAACAAAGAAATAAAGGCTTTAAATGACACACTGGACCAAATGGACTTCACAGACCTATTCAGAACATTCCACCCCAAAGCAACGGAATACACATTCTTCTCTAGTGCCCATGGAACATTCTCCAGAATAGATCACATCCTAGGTCACAAATCAGATCTCAACTGGTACCAAAGATTGGGATCATTCCCTGCCTATTGTCAGACCACAGTGCTTTGAAACTAGAACTCAATCGCAAGAGGAAAGTTGGAAAAAAACTCAAATACATGGAGGCTAAAGAGCATCCTATGAAAGAATGAATGGGTCAACCAGGAAATTAAAGAAGAATTAAAAAAATTCATGGAAACCAATGAAAATGAAAACACAACTATTCAAAATCTTTGGGATGCAGCAAAGGCAGTCCTAAGAGGAAAGTATATAGCAATACAAGCCTTTCTCAAGAAACAAGAAAGGTCTCAAGTACACAAGCTAACCCAACACCTAAAGGAGCTAGAGAAAAAACAGCAAATAAAGCCTAAACCCAGCAGGAGAAGAGAAAAAATAAAGGTCAGAGGAGAAATCAATGAAATATTAACCAAAAGAACAGTAGAACAGATCAACGAAACTAGGAGCTGGTTCTTTGAAAGAATTAACAAGATAGATAAACCCCTGGCCAGACTTATCAAAAAGAGAAGAGAAATGACCCAAATCAACAAAATCATGAATGAAAGAGGAGAGATCACAACCAACACCAAAGAAATATAAACAATTATAAGAACATATTATGAGCAACTCTAGGCCAGCAAATTAGATAACCTGAAAGAAATGGATGCATTCCTAGAGATGCATCAACTACCAAAACTGAACCAGGATGAAATAGAAAACCTGAACAGACCTATAACCACTAAGGAAATTGAAGCAGTCATCAAAAATCTCCCAACAAACAAAAGCCCAGGGCCAGATGGCTTCCCAGGGGAATTCTACCAAACATTTCAAGAAGAATTAATACCTATTCTTCTGAAACTGTTCCAAAAAATAGAAATGGAAGGAAAACTTCCAAACTCATTTTATGAGGCCACCATTACCTTGATCCCAAAACCAGACAAAGACTCCATCAAAAGGGAGAATTACAGACCAATATCCCTGAGGAACATGGATGCAAAAATTCTCACCAAAATACTAGCCAATAGGATCCAACAGGACATTAAAAGGATTATTCCCCACGACCAAGTGGGATTTATCCCTGGGCTGCAAGGTTGGTTCAACATGCGCAAATCAATTAACATGATACAATACATTAACAAAAGAAAGAACAAGAATCATATGATTCAATAGATGCAGAAAAAGCATTTGACAAAGTACAGCATCCTTTCTTGATCAAAACTCTTCAGAGTATAGGGATAGAGGGTACATACCTCAATATCATAAAAGCCATCTAAGAAAAACCCACAGCAAATATCATTCTCATTGGGGAAAAACTGAGGGCTTTACCCCTAAGGTCAGGAAAATGGCAGGGATGTCCACTATCACCACTGCTATTCAACATAGTATGAGAAGTCCTAGCCACAGCAATCAGACAACAAAAAGAAATAAAAGGCATCCAAATTGGCAAAGAAGGAGTCAAACTTTCACTCTTTGCAGATGATATGATACTTTATGTGGAAAACCCAAAAGACTCCACCCCAAAACTGCTAGAACTCATACAGGAATTCAGTCAAGTGGCAGGGTATAAAATCAAAGTACAGAAATCAGTGGCATTCCTATACACCAACAACAAGACAGAAGAAAGAGAAATTAAGGAGTTGATCCCATTTACAATTGCACCCAAAACCGTAAGATACCTAGGAATAAATCTAACCAAAGAGGCAAAGGATCTGTACTCAGAAAACTATAAAATACTCATGAAAGAAATTGAGGAAGACAAAAAGAGATGGAAAAAGGTTCCATGCTCATGGATTGGAAGAACAAATATTGTGAAGATGTCAATGCTCCCTAGAGCAATCTACACAGTCGATGCAATCCCTATCAAAATACCATCCACTTTTTTCAAAGAAATGGAACAAATAATCCTAAAATTTGTATGGAACTAGAAAAGACTCCGAATAGCCAGAGGAATGTTGAAAAAGAAAAGCAAAGCTGGCGGCATCACAATTCCAGACTTCCAGCTCTATTACAAAGCTGTCATCATCAAGACAGTATGGTACTGGCACAAAAACAGATACATAGATCAACAGAACAGAATAGAGAGCCCAGAAATGGACCCTCAACTCTATGGTCAACTAATCTTTGACAAAGCAGGAAAGAATGTCCAATGGAAAAAAGACAGTTTCTTCAATAAATGGTGCTGGGAAAATTGGACAGCCACATGCAGATTATTGAAACTGGACCATTTCCTTACACCACACACAAAAATAGACTCCAAATGGTTGAAAGACCTCAATGTGAGACAGGAGTCCATCAACATCCTAAAGGAGAACACAGGCAGCAACCTCTTCGACCTCAGCTGCAGCAACTTCCCCCTAGAAACATCACCAAAGGCAAGGGAAGCAAGGGCAAAAATGAACTATTGGGACTTCATCAAGATAAAAAGCTTTTGCACAGCAAAGGAAACAGTCAACAAAACCAAAAGACAACTGACAAAATAGGAGAAGATATTTGCAAATGACATATCAGATAAAGGGCTAGTATCCAAAATCTATAACGAACTTATCAAACTCAACACCCAAAGAACAAAGAATCCAATCAAGAAATGGGCAGAAGACATGAACAGACATTTTTCCAAAGGAGACATCCAAATGGCCAACAGACACATGAAAAAGTGCTCAACATCGCTTGACATCAGGGAAATCCAAATCAGAACCTCAATGAGATACCACCTCCCACCAGTCAGAATGGCTAAAATTAACAAGTCAGGAAACGACCGATGTTGGCGGGGATGCGGAGAAAGGGGAACCCTCCTACACTCTTGGTGGGAATGCAAGCTGGTGCAGCCACTCTGGAAAACATTATGGAGGTTCCTCAAAAAGTGAAAATAGAGCTACCATACGATCCAGGAATTGCACTACTGGGTATTTACCCCAAAGATACAAATGTAGGGATCCAAAGGGGTATGTGCACCCCGATGTTTATAGCAGCAATGTCCACAATAGCCAAACTGTGGAAAGAGCCAAGATGTCCATCGACAGATGAATGGATAAAGAAGAAGTGGTATCTGTATACAATGGAATATTATGCAGCCATCAAAAGGAATGAGATCTTGCCATCTGCAACGACGTGGATGAAACTGGAGGGTGTTATGCTGAGTAAAATAAGTCAATCAGAGAAAGCCATGTATCATATGATCTCACTGATATGAGGAATTCTTAATCTCAGGAAAGAAACTGAGGGTTGCTGGAGTCGTGGGGGGTGGGAGAGATGGGGTGTCTGGGTGATAGACATTGGGGAGGGTATGTGCTATGGTGAGCGCTGTGAATTGCACAAGACTGTTGAATCACAGATCTGTACCTCTGAAACAAATAATGCAATAGATATTAAGATAAAAAAAAGAAGAAGACAAAGGAGGGGAAGAATGAAAGGGGGAAAATCGGAGGGGGAGACGAACCATGAAAGACGATGGACTCTGAAAAACAAACTGAGGGTTCTAGAGGGGAGGGGAGTGGGAGGATGGGTTAGCCTGGTGATGGGTAGTAAAGAGGGCACGTTCTGCATGGAGCACTGGGTGTTATGCACAAACAATGAATCATGGAACACTACATCAAAAACGATGTGATGTATGGTGATTAACATAACAATAAAAAAATTTTAAAAAATTCAGAAGACAAACAAAACAAAACAAAACAAAAAAATATTCCTTGCCAAGTCATTTGGAGCTACACTGAAGCCACAGGTAAAATCAGAGAATCTTTGACTTTCAAGGATGATATATTCATCATACTTTATATAACTCCCTAATTTCATTTGAGTAGGACTTTAGGGTATATTTTCTTTAAGATTTGTATATATTTCAAAAAGCACTGTATTATGGTAGTTTTTATAGATGTAGGAGCTATCAGTTAACCTTTTATTCCAAAGTGATATCTCTGTCAATGAAGAGACCATTTTCCAACTGCACAAACCATGTCAATTAATTACTTGCATGAAAATATTCTCTCAAAATATGTATATATTTCCAGTAATTAAATGAGATTCAAATCTTTACTAATAAATTTAGTAGGTGAGGAATTTTCTTTTGATCTTTGATTAATTCCTCAGCAGAGCCTCTGATGCTGGGAAATTAGTGGTATTTATATTTTGGCTTTCCCATAAAATTTACTTTTTTCTCCCAAAAGCTCTCTATAGTTTTATTAAGAATTCCAAAGATGAGGGACTTCCAGGGAACATGGAGAACCCTAAACTCACCTCATCCCATGGATACAGTTAGATAACTATCACATCAGTACAAATAACCCAGAAAATGACCTGAAGACTGAGAGAGTAAACTCCACAACTAAACGTAGAGAAGAGGCCACAGTGAAGAGGCTAGGAAGGGCAGAGAATAAAGTGGTGGGGAGCTAAACCCCATGGGTCTGGCCCGTGGAGGAAGGGAGCATGGATGTGGAGAGGGGTGAGAAACAGACTAGGGAGTTTGCACTGAGATGAATCCCCATAGCATTTGGCTTTGAAAATCAGGGGAAGAATTTTGTGAGTTCTTGCAATCAACAGGACTTAAAGTCTGGAATTTTATAAATCAGCAGGTTAGGCTCTGGGAGAACTCAGAGGGTGAGAGAGAGTTGAGTTCCTGCCCTTAAAGACACAGCACAAAAAACAGCCCTCAGAGATACAGCTTAGAAGTAGCTATTTGAAAAATGTCTGGGGCATATGGGAGGGAGAGTTACTTACTAATCTCAGAGTTCATTGAAGGACTTCTCCAGGAACAAAGGAGTTAGAAGGTGTCATTTCCTCCTCTTGCCCCCCAGCATAATCACACAGCCAGCTAGTGGAGCCTGCATGGACACAGCATTCACTACTAAGTGGCACCCTGCCACCTCCAGCTGGGCTTGCCTCAGTAAAGGCACTGCAAGTCTCCTCTCCCAGAAGACAGTTGTAAACCTTGCCAACACTGCATCTCCCGACCTCCTGCAGAGGAAATGTGCACCTTGTTAGAATTGCACCCCCAGCCACCCATATGCTTTGTGGACTGGCCCTGGCATGCCCTGGTCTCTGCAGCAGCTGTGTGTCCACAGTGGCAAAGGAATGGTGCATACACCTTGTGGCACTAGGCTCATGCCTTCATGCACGTTGCAGAGTTGCCTAGACCCACCAGTTCTGGGTGGCTGCAGTGCGTCCTCTGTGGAGGAAGACCAGCACAACCTTGTTAAAATCGCATGCCCACCCACTAGTTTCAAGAGCAAGAGACAGCTGACTTTCCTAACACACAGAAACAGACACAAAGAGTTAGGCAAAATAAGAAGACAGAAGAATATGTCCCAAAGGAAAGAACAGGACAAAGTCCTAGCAAGAGAGCTAAGGGACACAGAGATAAGTAATATGGCTGAAAGAGAATTTAAAGTAATGATCATAAGGATACTGACTGGACTTGAGAAAAGAGTGGAGGACATCAGTGAAACCCTTAACAAAATGCAGAAGAAGAAATCAGAGATTAAGAATACAAAAATGGAAATTAAAAATACACTAGAGTAAGTAGAAGGTTAGATGAAGCAGAAGAATGAACTAAGAGAAAAAAGAATTATGCAAAGCAAGAATAGATTTAGGGAACTCAGTGATTCCATCAAGCGCAATAACATTCACATTATAGGGATACTAGAAAGAGAAAAGAGAGAAAAGGGGACTGAAAATCTATGTGAAAAAAAATGGTAGCTGAAAACTTCCCTAATCTGGGGAAGGAAACAGATATCCAGATCCAGGAGGCACAAGATTCCCCAACAACATCAAACCAATGAGGTCCACACCAAGAAACATAGTAATTAAACTGAAAAAGTAGTGATTAAAAAAAAAAAATTAAAAGCAGCAATACAAAAGAAGGCAGTTATATACAAGGGAAAATCCCTAAGGCTATCAGTGGATATTTCAACATAAATTTTGCAGGCCAGAAAGGACTGGCATAATATATTCAAAGTGCTGACAGGGAAAACTGCAGCCAAGGATACTATATCCAGCAAAGCTATTATTCGGAATAAAAGGAGAGATAAAGAATTCCTCAGACAAAACAAACATAAAAAACAAAACAAAACAAAAAACCCAAAAGAAAACAAAAAACCAAAAAATAAAATCCTAAAGAAGCTCAGGACGACTAACCCCACCCAACAAGAAATATTAAAGGGGTCTCTGAGTGGAAAGGAAAGACCATAAATGGGAGTATGGAAAGTAGGAAACACAAAAGCAGTAAAAATACATATATCTGTAAAAATCAGTCAAGGGATTCATAAAATAAAAGGAAGTAAAATATGACACCACATACCTAAAATGTAGACGGTGGAGAGTAAAAAATGGGTTCAAACTTAAGTGATCATTGACTTCATATAGATTGCATTTGCAGAAGATGTTATATACAAACCTATTACAAACCTATGGTAATCACAATCCAATAAAGAATAATAGATTTGCAAAGAAAAAAGAGAAAAGAATCCAAGTATAACACTAAAGAAAGCCAGCAAACTGTGAAAGAAAAGAGAAGTATCAGAGGAAAACTATAAAAACTACCACAGAACAAGTAACAATATGGCAATAAATAAATATCAATAATTACTTGGAATGTAAATGGACTAAGTGCTCCAATCAAAAGACATGGGGTGTGGGGATGGATTAAAAAATAAAAGTCATCTCTATGCTGTCTAGAAGAGAGTCATTTCAGAACTAAAGAAACCTGCAGATTGAAAGTGAGGGGATAGAAAAACAACTATAATGCAAATGGATGTCAAAAGAAAACTAAGGTAGGAATAGTTATATTGGACAAAACAGACTTTAAACAATGACTGTAACAAGAGACAAAGAAAGACACTATATACCAATAAAGGGACAATCCATCAAAAAGATGTTACAGTTGTAAATATTTATATGCCCAACATGGGAGTACTCATATACATAAAATATTTAATAATGAACATAAAGGAACTAATTGATAACACAATAACAGTAGGGGACATTAACACCCCACTTACATCAATGGACAGATCATCCAAACAGAAAATAAATGAAACAATGGCTTTGAATAATACACTGGATCAGAGGGATCTAACAGGTATATTCAGAACATTCTATCCTAAAACAGCAGAATACACATTCTTTTCAAGTGCACACGGAACATTCTCCAGAACAGATCACATACTAGGCCACAAACAAGTCTCAACAAATTCAAAAAGATCAAAGTCATACCATGCATCTTTTCTGACCACAACACTATGAAACTAGAAACCAATCACAAGAAAAATCTGGAAAAAGCACAAATACATGGAGGTTAAATAACATGTCACTGTTGAATCACAGACCTGAACCTCTGAAACTAATAATACATTATATGTTAAAAAAAAAAAAAAAAAAAGAAGAAGAAGAAGAAGATAGTAGGAAGGGAAAAATGAAGAAGGGGAAATCAGAGAGGGAGACGAACCATGAGAGACTATGGACTCTGAGAAACAAACTGACGGTTCTAGAGGGAGGAGGGTGGGGAGATGGGTTAGCCTGGTGATGGGTATTAAAGAGGGCAGGTACTGAATGGAGCACTGGGTGTTATATGCAAACAATGAATCATGGAACGCTACATCAAAACTAATGATGTATGGTGATTAACATAATAAAATAAAAAAATGTAAAAAATAAATAAATAACATGCCACTAAACAACTAATGGATCACCCAAGAAATTAAAGAAGGAATTAAAAATTACATAGAAACAAATAAATGAAAACACAATAGTCCAAAATCTTTGGGATGCAGCAAAAGTGATTCTAACAGGGAAGTTTATA